AGCTCCAAATTTCATTGGAATGTGGAGCTTTTGCGACCGCCACCGCCACCGCCACCAAAAAGCTCCAAATTTCATTGGAATGTGGAGCTTTTGCGACCGCCGCCAGAAAAGCTCCAAATTTTGAGCAAATTTGGGGCTTTGTGGCCGCCAGCAAGGGTTTGTGACGTTGCAACCTCGGTTTTCGTTCCACCACCGCTACCACGGTGAGTTTGGCCATATTTATACCCTGCCATGCCTACCTCAGTTTTCGTTCTAGCGTAGCCTTGCCTTTGGGCTGAGATGCATTGAGGGCCTTGGGGTTTGTAGAGATAAAAACCATTTGTAAGCCTTACAAGACTTAAATCCCAACCAACACCTTTGGATTCCATTTCCCACTAGGATTGCAGGATTGAAGTTTACCTCTAATCCGCAGATCCCAAAGACTAATTCGTAACCGCGTAATCTTCAATCCGTGCAATCCTAGGGGGATTAGATAGGATCAAGCCAGTCTGCTTTCATTGTTTGGAAAGGGTTCAGTCTAGTCTGAACCTGCAGTGAACTGTTTAGAGTGTCTTAGAGTCAAGTTGCTTAGGATGTGTGATTCCGACGAAACGAAACGAAACGAAACGAAACGAACCGGACCACGAACCGAATCGCTTCGAATCGAAACCAATTCCTATAGGAAACCAATTCTTTAAATAAGGAACCGAACCGACTAACTGACGATCGAATCGAAGCCATACCGATCTCACAACATCCGAGGTCGTGTGAGTCCATCCCATCCACCGTTCCGGCTCCGTCGCTTCCGTCCCCCCACTGGGCTTCCCTGTCGGCGCCCAGGCGGGTGCCATAGGGATGGGCTCCTCCGACCGAGGACCCACGCGGCAGCGGAGCGCAGCGCCGGGGAAACCGACCGTGGCGTCCAAGAAGCGAAAAGTGTCGATTCTCGAGGTGTTCCGTTCAACTTGTTACAAGAAGTGATTCCGGATGTTCATAGTGAAAAAAGAAAGAGAGAAGCCCCAAAGGCTGCAAAGAGTCCTCCACTCTGATCTTTAAAGAAACAGATCTCTTATCTCGTTCATCTTCTCCACTCTGGCATGCCTCTCTGGTCACCAAAAAGGGACACCAGTTCTTTTTCCAATCGGAAGCATCTCATCATCCCAACTCTCAAATCCCTCGACCTCGACCGTCGATCCCTCCACCCAAGGAGCCGGCGTCGCTTCTGCCCCGCACCGAAGGGGTCAGGTGGCTCCCTAGGTCGCAGGGGAGCACGGATTCCCGGCCGGGCGCTCACGAGACGTCGTGCTACCGCACGAGCGTCTCTCAGTCCTCATCCACCAAAGGTGTGGTACCCAGAAAGAGCCCGAAGGCCAGCTGGTCCTTGTCCGAGGCTTTCAGAGGGCACCATACTGGCAGAAAGACCAACAGTACAAGCGCGGGTGACATGTTGTGGGATCATTTGTTGTTTTGGCGAACCTTCGGTACAGTTTCACCATGTTCCCATCGATTAAGATTTGGGGGCGCTATACTACACGGGTCACTGCCGTACAATTGAGGAGATTCTCAATGAGAACATCCATGTTGACGTTTCATGATGGGCATTCATTCAAGCATTTCAAGACACCGATGGGCCGATGGATGGGAAAAAATATGAAAAAAAGCACATAAACCGTTCCTTAGGCAAAGCACATGGGTCAATTTGGAAACGAATCATGCAGCTCCCGATGTGTGTTCGTTCACATCACCTTTTTGTATCAACCCCTTGACATTCTTCTGGGTGATCTACCAGCATCCACAGGGTGAACTGTGAAAAAAGGACAGCATGAAAAGGATAATTTAGACTCAATTATACAAAGACTTTAACGCATGAACATGTTTGTTCTTTCTTGCCCTTTTGTTATTCCTCTCCACCGAGGGGACGATTTCTCCAGCTAACCCCTCCCCACAACGACCGCGCGGCGTGGACGAAGGGCCGCTTGTGGATCCAATCCTTAGTCCGTCGGTCCCCTGAACCGTCGGGTGAAGAACCCCAAAACAGATGATCGAATGGATCGCCACGAAAACAAGCTCCTGAGTCGCTGTACTTGTCATTCGTGAAACATCTTTGAAGCTGATTTCGAGATGAAAGGGAGGAGAGATGCGATCTCGAACCGTGATTGGCTGCGTGTATCACACCTGGAAGCCACCAGCCCGACGGCCACCGCGGGAGGTCGCGCGCTACCCCCCAGTAAAACGCTGTCCAGGAGCAAGCAAGGCAATCAACCATGACAAGGCATCCGGAAACCTGGGGCATCTGGGGGTATTTTCTCGTTTTCGATGGGACAAGAGAAACCGGAGAGTTTTGTTGCAGGTTACGGGGAAAGAGTGGAATGATAACAACAAATGCTCAAACCTGCTGCGATCGTTGTATTGGGTACGACTTAGGCCCGGCTCTCCTTGCTGATGGCTTTCCGTATTAAATGGTCTTGTTGGTACTTCTGTTTGTTCTTCTCTTCTACTCCATTCACGTCACATCGCAAACCAAAACAAGAGAGCCCAGAACGTCAGTCAGTCAAGGCGCCTCCGCCCAGGATTAAAAAGAAACCACCCAAGAAAACATGGGCACATTGCGCTCCACCTGGTCCAAAAGAAACCATCCCAGACACCTCAAAAAAGAACCATGGTCACATCGTGCCACAACCAATGTTGGACCGAATCTTGTTATATAAATACAGTGAGGCCAAAGATCTGTTGCACAACATGCATCTGCAAAAAGCCGGTATCCAACAAGATACCTCTGTCAAGACTATGGAATTCAACTGGAAATCAGAAATCAACTCTTGTATAGCTCCAGGAATAGCAACTTTAAAAAAAGAACTCAATCACTCCGACCTTTTTTCTTCTCTCTCTCTCTCTCTCCCTCTCTGCTCCTGGGCCGTTCCGGCGCGCGGACGAAGAAGAAGCCGTTCATGGCGCAGTTCGTGGAATCGTAGTCGATGGCGGAGAAGAGCAAGGCCTCCGACCTGCCCCGGACGACGAGTTCCGGACCAAACGGCCCGGAACCGCGTTCGGCTTTTCAGAGCGTCACGCGTTCGTGCAGTGCTCTGCTCGGCTCCGCGCGTCAGGGTCCGAAGGGTCCGAAGGGGTGGCATCTTTTCGGTCAAAGGATGCCATGTGTCACAGAGAGGCATTGCAAAGACCCTGAAGTGTTTTGGACTCGGGAGCAGAACTGCCGGTCATCTGTGAAGGTCGTCGGGTAGCAGCGTGCGCGGGTGGCAGAGTTGGACAAATGTAAAGACCGATGGAGCCCGCTCATTCAGAGTGCGGAGCTGCGCTGCATGAAAAAAACAAGCCTGTGCAAGTTCACTTTGTTCACCCCACCCAGTATATCTTGTTGATTCTTTTTGCGAGCTCAGGAGCGAGCTCAGGACGGTTGGGAGTGTTCACCAGGGATTTTCTTCAGAGAAGGGAATTGGACACGGCTTTTGAGGGGAGCCAGTTCAGCTTTTGGAGGAGACGTTTGTGGATTTGTATTACATGAACTGTGAAGGAGTTCTTGTGTTCTTTGATCACGAGATGCTTTCTTCCAACGCAAAGATTGAAGATTAAAATAATGGCTGCGCCATCTTTTGAGCAATATCAAATGGCTGGATTCTTTGGTGGACAAAAGGGGGAGTCCAGTGTCAGCCCGGCCCAAGGGCCGGGGTGGATCGAAAATGGAAGTGGATCACAAACCAAGGGATTGACCTTTTCACCGCTTCCCGCAAGCTACTGGATGTCGCTACCACAGCTGACAGCTGGATGTCGCATGAGAAGACACCCTGACGAGTCCATGGGAACAAGGACGTGGCAAGTCGACGGAGTCCACGGGCTGGACAGCTGGACAGCTGGATCTTCCACCAATGCCGATGAAATCTCCAGTTGAACAGCTGTTCACTGCCACTAGAGCTTGTACATGGAAAACTTCAATTCTCTTTGCATGTTGCTTTTGTTTCTCCACGCACAAATGAGATTCTCCAGAATTCGGGATCAAGTTCTGAAACAACAGATTCGGATCCACTGAAGCCACAGTCCGATCCTGGCCTTCCCTCACGTGCGGCATCCGCCTCCTCTGCAGCCTGAGAGCATCGGGCCGTTTCAGTTGTTTGGTGTTGCTTCTCATCGTCTTCCGGACGGCAACCTGCAACATCTGCAACCTGAGAGCGTGGGCGGGCGCCCACTTAAAGTGTCTTGGGAAGTGAATGAGGAACGGAGCAACTGAAAAAGTCAAACATGGCGATGGATCCAAACAGGGGCACCTTGGTTAACCCATCAAAATGAGCAAACAGACCCATACTGACTCACCTTGACTATGCGACCTTGGTGCCCCTGAAGGATTTGTATGCACCTTGACTATGCGACCCACATGGCCGACTGTCAGTCGGCGTCAACTAACGGCCTCCCCGCATCGCACATCCAAGACAGCTTCGTCTATGCAGATCATCCACATGTATGGACATCCACTTACCTTCACCCCTGAAACCACCTCAATGTAGGTACATAGGCCATACAAACAGCTTTCCAAAAACAGGTTTGTCTACAGTTCCTGGAGTTGTTCATCCACAAACCACCACAAATAGCTCTTTCATGGCTCTTGTAATGAGCAGTTGGCTACTTGTTCTACCAGCCCTCTCTTTTGTCCCCCCCCAGTCATGCGGTGCTCAGACTCAGTAGGCCCTACCAGGGGCCCCACAAACCATCAAAAACCTGGTTTTCCCCAGCAAAAAACATGGTTTGTGTATGTGAAAACTTTTGTTTTTCATGGTTTTGAGGGCCATCTCATCGGTCCTTCTCTTCGCAGCCAGGTGGCCAGTGCTTGCTGCAAGACCGGCCAAGGGTTCTTCAGCCACACGGAGTCGAAATCGAACCAGAAGCTGTCGAAGCCTTTCTCCGCCAGGCGACGGGCCATGCGAATCGAGGTCGACGAGGTCGATGTCGATGTTGGAGGACGGGTGCAGCCGGCCGGTTTTCGCCGGCCGAGAACCCCAGGGATTGGATGAAGAAGAGAAAGGAGGATTGAAGAGAATCTAAGAGACCTTGGAAAAATGAACACCCATGCAGTCGTCCAAAACATCGCACGACGATTACTGGGCGATGTGCATATGTGGGGGGGGTGATATGCCCAAAAGCATGCATAGATTGGCACCCAGAAAGAGGGGGCTTGGGTGTTGGGGCGTGGTACTCGGTGGGCCGAGGGTGGTAGCCGGGTACCTCCATGAGGTCTGGATCTGGACTCAACACACATGACAGTGGTAGGGGGGCCTCCAGGCCTTTGCTTTCTCACAGAGGTGTCTCGCCATCTTGGATCACTCCATTGGCACTCCTAATCAATGACATGAAGGCCTCTTCACAAAACCAGGCTCCGCCGCGTCTCCGCCGCGTCTCCGCCGCGTCTCCGCCACTTCCCTCGAAGGGAACTCTGAGTGCCAAGCCCAACGCCACGAAGACCAGCCTTAGCCATCCAAAGTCGCCGACCATCAACCACCCCACGTTGAGTGTTCTGACATGTGAATACTACATGTTAATACACATCTCACTTTACAACGCTAAGAAACCACGTTACATTGAGTTCAAACCAAAACAAACAAAGGGACCAAAAGGCACAAAGCCTTTGACAGCATGTACTTTTCACATCTTTCTGCTGGTGTTCCACCCAGTCCTTCCTGTTCAAAGGTCACCAGGCTCCTGTACTGGCCCTCGGCCGCTCCCAGTCGTCCCTCCCGAGCGTCCCCGCACGATGACGTACTTCTGCAGCGCCGTCCGTTCGCGGCCGGACATGAAGAGCACCTCGGCGCCGTCCCATCGTACGGGACATGTTCGTTCGGTCTGAGGTGTTGGACCAAAACAGTTCAACACCAAAAAGAAGGGGGACAGATAGATGTCCGTGAGCAGATAGATGTGAGAGCAGATAGATGTTTCGGGAATAGATGTCCGTGAGCAGATAGATGTTTGTGAGATGAGTTTGATGTCCGTGAGTGTTTCTGTCCGATGTCTGTCCCTATTTAATCCTATTTACTTGATGGTTTTGTTTGGGTCGCGACCATTCTGCAAGAACACTTTTTTCGAACCACTCTCCCCCCCTCTCTACGAAAGCCCCTTCAATGGCGTTAAGGCATTAAGAATTCGGGGGATCCCAGAGCGTCATTCTTCCCAACTTCATTCCCCACTGTGCCTTCTCGGCGCTCGGACCGGCCGCTTTCTCGGTTTTTTCCAGCCACATCTTCGTCCGATCCGATCGAATCCCCATCCGCTGGGTCGGTCCCGTCCTCTTCGGCCGGTCAGGTCTCCCAAACGGTACGGCGGTGGGGATCGAACCGCTTTCTCGACAGACAGTCCAAAGCATTCAAACACCAGCGGACAACGGAAAGAGACGCTCTGGTTTGTAGGAAGAAAACGACCTCCTTTCGGGTTCAGCATGGTTCAGCCGTCTTGAGCCTCGTTGGGGGTCGGTATACGAGCTAGGCCAGCACATTCATTATAGAGGGCCAAGCAGATCCCCGGCACCAGCCCAGTGCCTGACAAACAACATGACCGATTCTGCTAATTTTCGAAGAAACGAGAAAACAACTTACCAACGTCCCGGACAAGGAGTCTTCTTCGTTGAGGGCTCTGTTCCGCCCAATACTCGGTGTGCCCAATACTCGGAGTGCCCAACATTCGAACGACAAGGAGACACAAGCGCAAACTTGGACTGTCAATCTGATCAATGACGCATAATGACGCCCACATAAGAATGGCACATGATCGCCATCTAGGGAACCCTGCTCCATTTCTCCGGCAAGCGTCTTCCGTGGATTCCTTGGCGGAAGTATGCGTAGTGCGGTGCGTGCAAATACAACTCACCTCTTGACTTGCATCAACACATGCATGACCAACTTGTAATGATGGTGACTTCTTCACCGTTAAACCAAACGTCTTCAACCGCAACAAACAAGTCCCTGAGACCAAAAAAAAGAATTCCTTGGCTCGGGGAAAGCATGTGCTCCTGCACGTTGGTCACACGTTGGTCACGTGCGGTTTTCACGAGAAGCCATCTCGCAGTGTCTCGCTCCTCCTTTTTCCTTCTCTCGGACGATTCCCGCAGCCAGGCGCGCAGCTCCTTGCGCAGCTCGGGATCTCGCCTCGGCGTTCCACCGACAGGCGTGGCGTGGCGGAAACGGCGGGAGGAGGATGAAAAGGATGAAAAGGGACGGGAAGGTTGAATTCGGCGATCTTCGCTTCTCAATCTAAATGATCCGAGTCTGGACGTACTTTTTGGGGGGCTTGGCGCGCAAAAAAAAAGAACAACAGAAGAATCCGGAGGCCGACATGTGGACCACATCCACTGAAGCCTCCAGAGACTCGCCAAATCAACCTTTAAAAAGGATCCTTCAGGGTTCCTGCAGCACGGGTGGTCTTGTTACAATGGACCTCCTAGGCTGCTGAGGCTGGGCCCGGTGCAGAATCCATTCCAGGGTCCAAAATCTGAGGCCAACTCCGGAAAGGGAAATAAAAAAATGGCGGCCCTTCGCTTCGGCAAAGAAGACGGCAATGTGTTCTTTTTGTATGTGTGTGTACCTGTTCTTTCCTGATCCAACAAAGTCCCACTAAGTTTCAAGTTCCACATCAAAAAAGAGTGATGTCTTTGGGGGGGCCCAACAAACCATTCACAGGCACTCCGGCCAAGTCACATGCACTCGGACAAAGTAAGTGGATGTCCTGTAAAGGGACACTGCCCTGGCACGACTTAAGGGTTGCCGACGACGTTCGACCAGCGGCTTGAGACACACATGAAGAGCTGGCTGACGAAACTCATCCATCCAGTGTTTCCAACCACTTCCGCTCAGAGTTCAGTGAGTTTGAAGCTGATTCCCTTCCATGCTTTGGCAGACGGTGATTTTGAATAGAAACATACGAAACCTTTTCCAGCTTGGGCTGGAACACATGTCTCAAGCTGAGCACTTGATCAAGCCAAACTTCCGAAGCAGGGAAAATAGACTTGAAGCATACAGAGAAGCAGCTTCGTGACTGCCTCTGACATCATTGGTATTCATTTATTAAGCCTTCAACATCCCTGCCTAGCTGCGGAAGTGATGTTCAGTTCAGATCTCAGGATTTCCCCACCAACCTCCCCACCACCACCCATCGCCTTCTACGAGTCTTCGTGCCAGCGTGGAGCGCTCACAGACATGGCCGTAGGGCGTCCGAACGGGGTCCACGAGCCTGGGAGGACGTAGGGCATCCGAAGCGTCGAAGTGAAGGGAGCTAGAGGAAGGTGAGCTGTGACAAGCGTCGTAGGTGCAGTTGACCCTGGAGATGCTGGGTGCAGTTGACCCTGAAGTGCCAGCGAAACCGAGAGTGACGTGGTAAGTGAAAAGCATTGCTGGAGGTGAAATCTCTGGTGGTGTTGCTTGAGTTTGTCCTCTATAGCAAGCCTGTCTGCGTTTGTTCTATAGCCCTTTGAACAAAAACCAGTTGCAAGTTGCTGATTCCGTGTAATGGCACAAAGATCTGCTTGTCCACTAGTCAATTCTTATGCAACATTCCATCTTACCTCAAAGAATCAAAAGAGTCATCTTCGTTTTGCGAAACGTCCTCTTCGTTCTCTAAGGCTTTGCCTCATGTCAATCCGTCGGCCACCTACGGAGCCGTTCCCGACAAGTACATCCAATCCTCCCTTGGATAGCGTGGATCTCTCTTCCACCCAAGGCGCGGCCTCCAGAACCACCCCGAAACGAAAAACCGAGGTGGATCGGTTGCACGACTCGCTTGAAGAGTGAGGGACAAAGGCACGGACCGCGAAAACAGGAGCGGAGACCGTGGTGCACACGGACCCCGAGGTTCTGAAGAGCATGTGGGATGCCCACGTTGAACCAACCAAAAGCTTTTCGAAGAAGTTCGATGCCCATTTCTGCTCAAAAACCAGTTTCACTGCCACAACTGGTGAAAATCATTGACCTCGCCTTGCAAAAAACCGTCGGCGGAACCGTCCGTGCTTCGGCCAAGTAGCAGCCGTCCGTCCAGCTGACAGCAGAAGGCCGGTGGAGCATCCACCAGCAGTGCGCGCAAGTCCTTTGGAGGGTCGGATGCCCATGTCCCGTGTCGGTCAAAGGCTCAGCGGCGGCACCAGGAACCCCAGCGAACGACCGGCAAATGGTGCAGGTCGTTCGCGGCAAATGGTGGACGGGTCGGGTGAACATGGTTGAGCGACTCATCGGAAACAACGGAGGGGGGCGTTCGGTGTCACTTGGCGCTGGTTGGCATGGGTCGCAAGTTTGGTCACTTCGGCCAAAAAAGGCAGCCACAGCTACGGGCGCGCCCTGCTACGGGCACTTCCCCATACGTGAGCTGGGGAGATTGTCTGGTGGGATAGAGCTTGTGAAAGAAGAGAGATACCAAGTTGGGTCATCCCCGTTTCAGTACAGCAAAGTCCTCTTCTTTGGCACCCAACATCTGTTTCTTCTCGGTCACCTATTTTGGTCCAACATCCTCCAACTGACCTCGCACACCACGGAAACACCACACATGGCCGCTCCTGCTTGGGCGTCTCCTTCAGCTCCACCGAGGCCGGTGGATCCAACTCCTGGGCCGACGTTGACGTCCGAGTGGCGGTGGGGTGTCCCCAGCCGCGATGAGGCACAAGAGACAGGAAGAATCCGGTGCTTCTGGATCATCATGGGGATGAGTTGCCACCCTCAAGGACCTTTCTGAGAAGGTCTATGTGGATTTGTAAGAAGAACAAAGCGGTGCAACCATCCGTTTTTTCGAATCTCTGCTGTCTGTCCTGCTCAAGCAATCTCACCCAAGCCTGGCTGTCAACCGAACGACCACCGCCGAAGCTTTCTGCGACCATGGCATCTTGGAACGGTGCTGTGTCGGTTCATGGTGGTGGGTCTCATCAATTTAAGAAAAAACTACCAGCACCCGACGACCAACAGGTCACCAACAGGTCTACCTGTCAGGGCCTTTCCCAACCCTCCAGCCATCGGAGACCTGTAGAGTCGGGTGCTGGTATACTTGATCATGTTGACATGCCCATAACGCTTTCGATGGTTGTATGGGATATGCGTCTAGAGGTGTGCAGTGGCTATGTGTACAGTGTACCAAGACGTCCGATGTCGCGGACTCTTCCATCCAAGTTCAACCAAAAGGCTGTGAACAGAACACTTTTTGAGGCAACAAGAGCTGAGACATGCCTCCAAAAAGAACAAAACTCTTCAACACATTCCATATTGCTTTGTCCATTGACCCATGAATGCTGCCATTTACCAATGAGCAAGACTTGAAACCATCAACCACCCCCACCAACCCATGTGTTGGAAGTGCTCTTCGTTCCACCCCTGAAGCCCCGAAGCCGGCCTCGCCGGCCTCGCTTCCGGTCATCGCCGGAAGGCGCTGGGCCACCTGCTGCCGCTGGGCGTCCTCCAAGTGCGCGAGCACCGCGCTGAGGACCTGTGCACTATGGGGCCTTTTCGGGCCTCTTCGGTGCAGTGAAAGCCCGGAAAGCAAGTGAAATGCTCGGTAGAATACAGTAGTTCATCAGGGAGTTCAGGTATTTGCGACAGTACAGAAACTGCACCCCACAGGGTTTCGGATGGACCAAGTTTGGAGAAAGAAAAGAACTCCTCGACGAAAGCATCCTTGAATGTGAATCACGGGATGCTCAATGCTCTCCCCTGTTTTCTTCTGGCTACGAGTTCCGATCCCTCTGACACCAAGTGGCATCTCCTCCAGGCTGCAGTCCTGCCGTGCGGCAGACCCGCCGGCACGGTAGAGGCGCGACCGTTCATTCAACGAAAAGCTTCTCTTCGAGTTGGATGCCAAGTCATCTCGAGACCGAACGAAGTTCATCTCGAGCGGGGCGTCGAGGTTCTCTCACCCTGATATCGTTCTTTTTGGTGAAGCAAAGCACCGTCACGAGGATCGGCGTTGGGGTGAGCGGCGGTGTGCAATGGCAACGCGGGATCTTCCGTGTTTTTTGGGTTCCAATCCGTTATAAGCTCTCAGCGTTGATCCGTTCTCAAAGTCGAGTTACGAAAAATAGATGTCACCCTCCAGACTTGTAGCAGCCACCATCTATAAAAGCCTTCACAAGGTTTAGCATGGGTCAGATCTGTATGGCATGGTTCTCCAAAAACAAGTGGGTATCTGCCAGCCCAACGAACGTCACAAGCAGCTTCAGTTTCGTAGGGTGTCCTTTTTTGACACCTTGTCCCATCCACTCTCCTGCAGCATTGGCCACTGCCACGAGCGCCGCGAGTGAAACTGGATCACCGCTAGCAGGGCCCAAGCAGCGTTGAAGCAATGCGATGCATGTTTCCTGCGAGCAGGATGTGGGTGCTGGAAATCAGAGTCACTTCAAAGGTGGTTTGGGATCAGGTGAAGGGCACACATGGGTCTTTCTCTCAAAGCTTTCATCAAAAATATATAGAGAGACATGTTGACATGGTGCATAGCTCCCAAAAAGGCACCGAGATCCGGGAAGCACCACACCACCACCTGCCATGCCTTCGACCCTTCGTGAAGAACGCTCCTGTGAAGGCGGAACGGTGCGTGCCAAGCCCGCCAGATCTCTCCTCGCATGGGGCGACGCTTCGAATGCTTCGACGTGACCCGACCCTGGCTGGGGAGGTGGTCAGCTTCGGGAGCGGCGGATGAGATCCATCGGATCCATCGATGCCAAAAAGACCAGATGCACCAGGAAATTGACAGATACGCCGTACGCACCGAGGCAGTGAAATGGACTGAAAATCCTCCAAAAGCAGTCCCAAACAGTTTGAGTGATGTCACCTTCACCATCGAAACCAATCTCACCAATTAAAACCCACCATCTCCTCGATGCCAACTCTCCACCCCACACCCCACATCAGCTCAGCGTCAGCACCGTCCGCCCGGGCGGCGCCAGCTCCGCCAGCAGCGCCCAGCAGCTCCGCCCCTCACCGTCGACCGCGGCGCGCCAGGCGTCCACGTCGTCGCCCAGCGACCGGAGGAAGGCGCCTACGGCCGAGCTCGGTGCGCGTCGGCCGCAGAACCGAAACGCGCCGAACGGCCGGGCGATGTTCCGAAAACAGGAACACCGATGCAGATGGAAGTGGAGTGTGTATTGTCGTCTGTCTAGTGTAGGAAAGGTTGAGAGTGAAAGAAGAAGAAGAAGAAGAAGAAAATGATGATGATGATGATGATGATGAAGATGATGATGATGATGATGATGATGATGATGATGATGATGATGATGACCCAAAGATGTCTTGGTCCCTGGATCTCCTTCTATCTCCTTTGATCTTGAACTACAAGGGGGGGCCACCTGGCACGTCTTTCTCTTTTTGAGTGATCCACCATGGCGATCCTCACGAATCCCCGAAAGAAAAACACCACACTCCCCACCCAAAGCACTCCATTCTCACCACTCCAAAGCACTCCACCGGGGAAAGGAACCGGTCGAGTCCAGCGTCGCCTAGGCGTGCGCCGATTTGGCCCGCAGCGGACGACGGTTCTGGTGCTGACCTTCACCAAGAGCTATATATACCAGGACCGACACCAAGAGGTGTCTATAAACAGCCTCTTAGAGGTGAGTCGAGGTGGCCAAAAACCACCGGACTTGGAAGGTCCTGGTATAAGTGTAGGGAACATTAAGTAACGTTCTGGGGGCCTGACCGCAAAAGAGAAGGACCCCAAAAAGTGTCTTAAGAATCTTAAGAGTTCTTGTGAAAAGAAAGCACCTGTAGGGGTGGTTACAGTACAAAAGCCGTGCCTTTCTGAAGAAAAACTGATATCAACTGTGCCCAGCTAAATCCACGGCCAACAGCCGCTTACACAATGTGTTTTCGTCAGTGAAATGTATCATCCTGCGTGGAACTAATTACAGAAGGCAACAGGCTCAGAGGCCTTCTTGGGGGACAGAAAGTTGCGCCATGAGTCATCTGCTGAAGAAACTGTCAGTGCCATGTTACGTTCTCTTTTACGGACCTTGCCACACAGATTAATCTCGAATTGCCCGCCAGGACCGCCCAGTGTGCCAGCTTCAATTGAAGACATTCGGAAGTCCAACCCAAACAACAGCCTGTCCAAATGTCTTCAAAAAAGGGGGCCCACCTTGATCAAGCTGCATTGACATCGACAGCTGAAACTAGGCGCCTTGCAGCCAAAAAACCTCTGGTGGCACGGTCCCAAAAACAGCTGGCCGCTGGCTGTGCTGTCATAACACCATGTACCTCCCTACAGTGCAGAAAGACCCACATGCATCATCACCGCTAATGCATTTTAATGCCTCGACCCCTAAATAGCTAAACCCTTCTGGAGATCGGGGGGTGCTTTGGTCGGCCACGCTCTCCAACCGGGTGCACCTCGCTTCCGGTCGGGCAGCGCCGCGCCGCCGACACCGAGCCGCTCGGAGGAAGCCGATCAGCTCCGGCACTCGTTGGTCACCCAGGAGCCCCGTCTGCCACGGGAAGGCCTCGGTGCCGCTGCGGGGCGGAGGAGCCCGAGCCCCGGGGCAGACGAGGAGAGACGTTGCACCACATCCGGAAGTGCCCCAAAAAAGAGGCGGGCGTGTGAGCTGACCTGCTTCACTTTGTTAAAGGGTATAAACGAGTGGTATTATTTGTGGATCCCCAAAAGAACATCCACCGAAACGAGAGCTGTTCGGTGCGTTCGTGCCAAGACACCATGAGGCATGGCATCAGTCGCTGCCGTGCGGCAGCAGCCGCCAGCATGGCGCGGTGCAGCGCCAGCCTCGGTCCAAATGCTTCGGAGGATTTGGGGGGGACCGATCATGGATGATTTCGCTTGCAGTCCCTGACCAGCCATCAAAATTTTGAAAAAAACTGAGTAAAGGATGGTAAAGGAGTCTTGAACCTTGAGTTTCCATGGAGATGAACTTAAATGCATGATTCATCGAGTGGTTTTCTTCTTTGTCACACTTGATACTCAAGCTGGTCCAGCGAATCCTGAGTGGGTCCCCGCTGCAGCTCGTACAAAACCGATCCTCGCCGAGGGGCTGCTCGTTGCGGATGCTGATGTCGACATTCTCTTCGGGATCCATGCAATCCCTGCAGGGAACTCAAGAATGATGGAACTGGCAAACATACGCGTCTGCAGCCACAGCTGGTGAATGCACATCGCCAGGCTGGCCAGCTAACAACGACGTTCAAACCAACCCTTTACTTCTGCAAGAGTTGGAGTGCAACATCTCCAACAATTGCATCTCTTCCTATATATTGTCGTCGGCTTTTTAAGTAGTTTTGGGGTCTTGTTCAAATTTTGGTTATAATATGTCGCCCACTCCCAAATGCCGCCCCATCATTCACTGACAGGTTCATTGATTTTAGAGAAGCATAGGACCATGGTGTCTCCATCCATACTGTTCCTTTTCTGGAGTAAATGACCTAACCCTGTCATCAGAGTGCAATTGCTTGTTGTACTAATGTCATTCCCCTTGGAGTCACGGGGAATCCTTTGATTTGTTTATCGAGTTTGGTCTTCGCTTTTCAAGAAGCAGGGGGCACGAGCACCATTGCAAGTCTCCTGTGCAATTTTTCGTCGACCTCTTCGAGTTCGTGACTTTGGTTTCTGATGACTTTCAGGTACCTAGGTGGGCGTGTGGCACGTGGCAATTCAGTTCAGTACGCAATATCTCGACTGTGTGTGTGTCACACTCTGTTCCAAAGAGTTTCTGCTCTGCTCGAATCGCAGGGGGCACAGGCCCATCGTGGATACCTGTGCCAACGAAGCTGCTCCACGATGGGGGATGCGGAGATTGATCACCTCCGTGTACCTGCTGAACTTTTCTACAAGCTGTCACTCGAATTTCCTCGATTTGTTTCATGGTTGTTTCACGATACTTCCCCTAAACCCTGGGTTCTGCAGCTGCGCCGCGCCGCTCCTTCGCCACCGCTGAGCTCTGCAGTCACGCACAAACAGCTTGTTCAACCTTTCAAGTGAACTGACTTTCTCGCCACGCCGTTCCCTCATTCCTTTCCTCGGGGAATTGACGTAACTGCAAACCCATTGTCTAAGTGTGTGCCGCTATGCCGTCACAGTGTGATCCTCCGCAAGGAGGCGCTGTTTTCACTCCAGATTACTGTGTAAATGATTCAGCGGATTTTCTGCACGCGTTGGATTCTCTTAACTGATTCTCGTTTCACATACTGGGTTCTCAAAATAAAAAACTGCCGGGTCAACGGAGAATAAACCCCGACGTGTTTCCTACCCCAAACACTCCCCCCCTCTAATTAGGGTAACAGAGGGAAATGGTACTCGGCACACTTGTGTGTCGGTGCCTTTCCCTCTCTTGTCCCTTTTCTAGTCTACTCTATACCCGGGCGGTTTAAGACTAAAGTCCCGCTCCCTAACTATTGCACCTACCAGTGTAGCGGGCAAGCGTGACTGGGTGTAATGTGATGTTCTCGGGTTGGGCTGCACTCGGTGCGTTGCGCTCGGTGCGATGCACTCGGTGCGCTGCACTCGGTAGCCAGACTCAGACACTGCTCCTTTTTCCTGAGTTTGCAAAAGGTGGCTTCATTAGCACTCCTGTTTGCCAAACCAGTTGCTACTCCTGTACGGACGACCACCGTCAGTAGCACCTCCTGTGGCCCATACTCGCACATCAACCCTAGCACTTACAAGAGTAGACCAGAGTTTTCCACAAGAATGCCCCACCAAGGGTGGCCGAATTCAATTGAACATATCGGTGCTGCAATTCGAGAATTTTGCATGGCAAAGGTCTACTTAAATCAACACCTGCGCGGACTGCGCTGGCCAATATCAAAAAGCTGAGACCAGTATCAGGCTCCTCTTTGTGGTACAGGATCCCAGCAAAAAAACAACCCAATCCAGTCTCTGCAGAAGAGGAAGTTGGTGTCTTTCTGAATGTCTTCGCATCCAAGCCCTTCTCCCCAAGCTGAACTCCTAACCTGACGGCGGCAATGCAATGAATGAAGGACTGAAAGAATGTCTGCCTGAACTACCACATCCTGCAGACAGTCATGACATCCAATGTACGAGACACCTATCTCCACGCATGCCTGCCTCAGACAAGAATCTCGACCACAGCAAAGTTCGACAAAGACTCGACCTTTCCCTTTGACAAACGACGCATTCGAAGACCCTGAACTCTGAGTTCCCCGGTGGTTGAGCCACCTCCATTAAATTCCTTCGAAAACAACCTCTATCCCTCTAATCCTAGATATCTTATGGACAAGTTTAACGAGGTCATTGGCTTGAGGTATATCTGAATTCCACTTCGGGGGTATTTCAAAAAAAGCAGCCCTCATCCATCCACCCATCCGAATCGATAAACGTCGACGAAGCAGCGACCCTGGCTTTGACCCAGCCAAGTGAATTGTCCTGACCAAACAGGGTGCCCCTTCAAATAGGAAACATGCTTTGACCTTGATCTTTTGGGTCTTCATCCCCTGGCTCTTCTGAGTCGTTCAGGGCGCCCTGTTCTAGCTCTACTGCCGTTCTTGGCTTAGCCGCTGGGCGCTAGCCATCCAGACCCCTCCTCAGGACCACTCTTTTTTGTTGACATGGCCCTACAACATGGCACTCTTTTTTTGACATGGCCTAGTTACTAGTTTGAGGGGATCTGATTGACCACCAGCCACCCTTTCTGTGGCCACAGGGACTGAATTCTTTGCTTTCGCCTGGCAATGCTTGGCAATGGCACTGAGATGCGTAGGATCTGGTCTTTTGGGAGGATGGTTCCACAAGGACCTTGGATCTGGTATCCAGGTTCCTGTTACTTACTTCGACCCGCACGTCCTGCTAATGCTGCAACTCATAGCACGAACACTGTCACCATCTAAACCAAAGCCAGTCATGAAACTTGGTCAAAATGCGCCAAGCATTTGCAGTGAATACAGTGACAAATGCGCAAAGTCATTCGCATTTGCCCAAACCAGCCTTGAAGGCGAAAGCATCTGCAAAGTGCTAAGGCCCATGTTTGGATGCAAAACCTGCCCAATACGCAAGGGGCCTCCAAAGCGTGGCAACATGAAGCGATGCTGGAACTACAAAAGCAGGCAGAAAGCAAGAAAGCAAGGCAAAGAAAAGAAATGAGAAGAGAAGAAAAGACAAGACAAGAAACAGAGGAAAGAAGGCAAGAAAGAAAAACACAAAAGCAAAAAAAGAACAGAAGGAAGGAAGAAAAAAATAGAGTTACGGGGGAGAGGGCGAGAGAGAGAGAGAGAGTTAGAGAGAAGAAAAAAGAAAAGAAAAAAGAAAAGAAAAGAAGAGAAGAGAAGAGAAGAGAAGACAAGAGAAGAGAAGAGAAGAGAAGAGAAAGAAAGAAACAGAGGGAGAGGAAAAGAGAGACAGAAGAGAAAGACCGAGAGCAAGCAAAGAGAGGGAGAGAGCGAGGGAGAGAGAAGAAAAGAGAGAATAAGAAAGAGAGAGAGGTTCAGGGAGTCATCACCTTTTTTGTAGCAAGCACGCTGCAATGGCATGGCTTCATATGAGCAATGGCCAAAACCTGCAATGAAGTATCAGATTGGGGTTGGCTTTGGTTGTTTTTGTACGTTGTCACTTGGCAGTTACATGGTGCTGCGGCAGCTGCCAGCGATCGCTGCCATCTTATTTATATATATTGTTTAATCATGTTTAAAATACAGGTGCCCCAAACCATGAAATTGCTAATACTTTTCGCCTGGGGCCGGCGTCCTACCCAGAATATAACTCAACCTGAATTCATTTGAGCTGATTTCCTTCCTTCTTTCGTCTTCTCTTCTTCTAGGTCTTTTGCTCGTTGCTGAAGGCTTGTTATGTTGTAATCCAGGCCTTTTCAGTCAAGGGTGCGCCGGACATACTTGGCTTTCTGGCCATGTGCCTTACCCGTCAGGGTTCCCACATATCGCACAACCCCACGCGCACCTTTCTCTGTTGGCTTTCCTTCTTTTCTTAGGTCTTCCTCTCGAGGCTTGTTAGGTTGCTTTTTAGGCTCGTTTAGTCGGTCCACACACCCCCCCTGCTTCGTTCTTTCCTTGTTTCCTTTCTCTTCCTCGGTCTTTTTTCTCTTCTAGAGGTTATTTCTGTCTGTAACCAGGCTTTCAGTCAAGTGCGCGCCGGACTCACGGCCACCTGTGTGTGTGTGTCACACCCTGTTTCCAAGGTCACCAACAGATCTTGCATTTAATTCAAGCAGGGGCATGCGGCACTCTCATCCTACCACATGCAACGAGGCTGTGGATGAGAGTGGGAAGCAAGGACTGATCATCCCTGTGCATCTGCAAATTATTGTCCTTTCAGTTGATATGATGCTGCGCAGAGCTTACCGCTGTCTCCTGCGTTGTTTCTGCACTAAAGAGCTAATGCAGTAAAGGGCTAACGAGTTCTGATCCAGTGTCTGAACGAATGCTCAATTCAGTTGAGCAATCAATCTAAAAGTGTGTGCAGGGGGTATGCTCTCTCTGTTCTCTCTTACAAAACTTTTCATAAGGCCGTGGTTGATTTCTCCATAATTACTCTACGAACTGCTTTAAGTCTTTACGCTGAAGAAGGATTCGGATTAAACAGTTGGACGCAAAATCATGATCAGGATCAGGGTGTTCTTTTGTAGGGTCATCGTTCCTTCCCTTTATCCGTCGCAAAGTCCTTCCAGTAATTAGCCCATTTCCTCCGTCTATACTGAGGCATTGCCGCGCTGTTTAAAAGTCTAATGTTCATTCTGTGCCAGTTCAGTTCTATGATGACTTTGTCAATTTCATTCTTACCCTTGTTCTTGTCTATTCCATTGGCAGTGTTTATTTGTGGTTTAAACCTCTTGCTTTCCTTCAGAGATTAGGTCTTTCAGGTGTTCCTTCATCTCTTTACAAGTCAAAGTATGTCTTCTCTCCTTCATCATCGCTGAACTCTTTTAGACATATAGTAGTATAACGGAAAAACATAATGATGATTGCCGTGTTCATCTCTAAAGTGTGTCTTCCATTGAACTGGAATGTCGTTTGTTTCTTTCAACTAGATATGCCCAGTTTGGTTGTCTATACTCAAGTTCGGTAGAGATGTAACTGCAGTCATTATCCGACAACCACAATGAAATTTAGTGATATGATGGATATCTTCTCTTGGAGTATATATGTTAATGTTGTATTCTGTGTCACTTTGCGCGTGTCTTTGCCCTCTCTTCGACAAACCCTGCGTCTAAAAAACCGTATCGTTGTTGCGCCATCACCGTTGATCATCATAAATCTACAAAATCTACTTTATTCCCACTCGATTGTTACGCTTGAATTTGTATGTTTACTATGATATTCATATGGCATGGGCTGGGCTGCCGGTAGGATAGGCCTCTCGGCCTCTCCACAGCCTGGATAGGCCTTATCAAGATCTGCCCTAGGATAGGGCCCATGGTCCATGGTAACCCTAGGATGGATAGGACCTATGATAGGCCTCTCCATAAACTACCATAGCAGCCTACACTGCTACCACAGGGGCTACCCTAGGAAAAGTGAAGCCCCATCAGTGGCCGTCTCTGTGAATTGGAATTGTTCAGACAACGCACACGCCGCCAGCTCCATGTCCGCCTTCATCCATCTCCCATCTCTCCCACCCAAAAACATCCCAAAACCCAAAAACCTGGCCACCCAACGAACCTCACCCTGCACCTAGAGCACCTACCACTCACCTATCACTCCCGACCACCCCTGCTAAAGGTCATGTCCCGCGCCTGAACGCCACGTCCTGCCCCCCAAGCTTCAGCAACGCCCCCAGGATCGCGTCCCGCAGCTCCGGCAGGTCCTGCAGCGTCCACGCGAAAGGCGCGCGGCTCGGGCGCGGCGCCCGGCCGCGCGGATCGCAGGGGTCCGGAATGGCTCGTGTTGGAGGGAGTCGGATTCGGATTCGACGTCCAAGTTCGCAAGGAGAAGAGATCGATGTTGTGGTTGATGCATTAATTAGATCCATCACAAGGCCTCAGAGTGGGGATGGTCAAACACACTCTGACACTGGTTTTCAGTTAACTCAATTTCCAGGAAAATGGTGATGGAACGGAAAGGTGAAAGAGTCGGCGCAAATTGTATTGTTGAACAAAATTTGATGCATGACTGCAGAACTCGGCCTCGGTGAACTCAGCGTGGAGAAAAAAGGGTTTAGGGGAAAGTATCATGAAGGACCATGAATCAAAACGTGGAAATACGTGGAAGATTAGGGCGACAGCGTGTGGAAAACTCCGCAGGTACATGAGAGTGATCAGCTCTCACTTCCCTCGACACATCATAGCTTCGTTGCGTCAGGTAGATGTGTCGAGCCTGACGCCCCTGCCTGTGAAAAAGCGGGAAATTGGTTGTAAACCCTTAGAAACAGGGTGTGACACACACAACAAGACGAACTCGGCGCGGATGCAGAGTGGTGGAAAAACGGACCTTTTTTCTCAAAAACCGCCTGCACGCTTGCAGGTCATGCCCTTTTTGGGCGTAGAGTTGTAAAATGGAAAGCTGAAAAAAGACTCCTGAAATCAAGTGGATCGTCTGCAATGGAAAGGAGAGGTAAAATTATGACATGAAATGCAGTGTGAAGCCTCGAGATACGTGCCAAAGCTGAGCAAATGGCTGCGGTTTAAACATTTGGGAGAATGCGGGAACGAACTATGACGCATGAGAGTGCAGTACGATTGATGGATTCCGTCGTTTATAGCCCGGCGGCTCAAAGTTCCGTTAATTTAATTCAGTTGCAGAAACGAGGAACCGACAGTCAGTAATAAAAACAGAACCCTGTGCTTTCCAGAATGGTAACGGCGCCTCCTTTCGGAGGGTCACACCCAGCACCCAAGTGGGAAGACTGAGCGGCTCACACTCTGACACTGGTTTTCAGTTAACTCAATTTCCAGGAAAATGGTGATGGAACGGAAAGGTGAAAGAGTCGGCGCAAATTGTATTGTTGAACAAAATTTGATGCATGACTGCAGAACTCGGCCTCGGTGAACTCAGCGTGGAGAAAAAGGGTTTAGGGGAAAGTATCATGAAGGACCATGAATCAAAACGTGGAAATACGTGGAAGATTAGGGCGACAGCGTGTGGAAAACTCCGCAGGTACATGAGAGTGATCAGCTCTCACTTCCCTCGACACATCATAGCTTCGTTGCGTCAGGTAGATGTGTCGAGCCTGACGCCCCTGCCTGTGAAAAAGCGGGAACATTGGTTGTAAACCCTTAGAAACAGGGTGTGACACACTCTGACACTTGTATTCAGTGACTCAATTACCACGCTGAGAAGGAAGGTGAGGGAACGGAAAGGCGCATGGGTCCGATCACTTGAATAGTTTAACATTGTTGTCACAAGGCGGCAGCGATCAAACCGGCGGTGCAGCTGCTGGGGAAGAGTGGGTTTATGGGGAGTATCGTGAACTACCATGGAAACAAAAAAGTGATTGGAACAGCTTGCTCAACCGTTGGTTGCAGGTACGTCGGCCAGCGTCCTGGCCGATATCCTCAGGACACTGCAGAGAGCATTGTTAAGTGGAGCTCTGCAGGCCTGCTCCACTCCCCTGCCTGTAGAAGGTGGTTGAAAAAGGTAGTTGAAAAACGTGGAAGGAGTAGCGGTGGAAAACCCTTTGTCCAGGGGTGGACACACACACACACACTCTGACACTGGTTTTCAGTTAAACTCAATTTCTCCGATGGGAAGGAAGGTGATGGAACTGCATGGTGGAGAGTCTGAAAGACTTGTAGGTGTTTCAACAAATTGTTGGTCAGTCTGCAGAACGATCGATCGGCGCGGCTCAGCTGCAAGACAACGCGGCTGCAAGAAAGGGTTTGGGGGGAGGTATCATGCAAGGACCATGAAAACAAAAGAGAGAGATTGGAACGGCTTGGTCAAAAGTTGAAAACTGGCGCAGGTACACAGATTGGCGTCCCAATCTGCTTCACGGAGTATCCACAGCTGTCTTCGTTGGCAGCAGAACTGTGGACTCCCTGCTGCCCCCTGCCTATGAGGAAAAGTGTTGGAAGACCCTTTGTCCAGGGGTGGACACACACACACACACACACCGGGACGCCTCAGTGACTCAGAGAGGTTCTTCACAAAGGGGCTCAGATCCTTCACAAACCCTCAGTGAGGTTCTTCTCATCTGGTAAGCACCCTATAGCCGAGAGGCCCCACAACCATCGGCATCATCCGGTTGAAAGCACAGCGCACCTAGCGCGTCAGGCTGTATCGTTGATCCATCAGGATTCAATACACAGGGATTGATGAGACTAGGGCACTTTGGAGATAATTCAAGGAACCGATAGATACCCTGCCAGGAGAAGTGAATGTTAACAGGTGCCCACCCCTAGGACAGCCACGTCAGGGGTTTTGGGAACTGGTCCCTTACTACCTCTCTGGATGTGGAAAAGCATCCTATCGTCCAAGCGGCCGCTGCGGTGAAATCCAATCCCAACGACCACTCGGCACGACCGGCCGATCGGCGGACCGTCCGGAGGGTCTCCGCGCCTTTGGCGAAGACCACTGCGCAATAAGCATCCTGCCGCGAGAGCTGAAAGCAGCGAAGTGGTCTCTCAGCGGCCAATCCAACTGGTTACAAGTGCATGTTGGATTGGATGGGAAAACAGGGCTGTGGCTATCAACACAGTGCCTCCTGATTGGAAACTTGACCTGGCACATGAGAATCGATACGCCTGTGGATACCTTGCGCCTTGGCAAATGTCATGACCAGGTCTTACTGTCATACCAAAAAATAAGCAAGGGTTCTCCCTCCATCCATCATCCACCATCCATCACTTCTCCTCACTGGCGAAGTCCCACAAGGCCGTCGCGCTGAAGTGGCTGTGTCCCATGCCCCGCACGGCCAGCGCCAAGAGCCACCTCAACGGCCCGGGAATTGCCCAGAAAAACCGAAGGAACCGAAGGAACCGAGGATGAGAGGGGGCAGTTGAACAGGAGGAACTTCACTGCAGTCACACGGGTGAAAATCCGACACCTCTCAGACACCTTGTAGCGTGAATATCAGCGAAACCCTCCGCAAACATCCGACCACATCTCCATCCGAGGCGCATACAAACTGCTGTCAAAGCCTCAGGGGGTGGGGTCGTGGTTTGTGCGTCCCGAGCTGTGTCACACGTAAGAATTTCATGGTTGCCATGCGTGAATCAACCCGCTCACCACTTTCTTGCACCGCCGATTCATACCTCTGTTGCAAGTCCAAGCATGTGAAGAGTGGCCTCAAAACTGCCTGCTTACCAAGCAAGCATGTAGCCACACTACCCGGGAAGCCGATCAACTCAAAGCTTGCTTTGCGGCTCGAGCAAAGCTGCTTCCTCCTCCGCTTCTTCGATGGAAACGAAGTGTGTGCTCTCTAGCTCTTCCAGCTTCTTTTTCGATTTAGTGATCTCGAGCTCAACTGTCTTGGCATCGGATTTGAGCTTCTTCTGTGTCTTCTCGATCTGTGCCATCTCCTTAAGTCCATCAAGCTTCAGCTGTTGCTGCTTCTCGACCTCTTTCCTCTTCTGTTTAATCTCAGTTGCGTGGAGATCGCATTTGTACCCTAGGCTCTCAACTCTGAGTTCTCCACCTGAGAACCACTTCCCTTTCCTCCGTTCGAAGTTGCACTGCAGCTGATACATGGTCCTGTGGACCTCGCGATATCTCACTGCACCTGATTCGTAGAATTTCCCGCCTTGCTTCACTTGGCGGATCGGCACCGGAGAACAATCCATGTCAAAGTGCCAACCACTTCCTGTGCCACCTTTTCCCACCCCTCTTTCCACGCATTGCACCTCTTCAAGTATTCGCACCAGATCCTTGGTATCAAGCTTTCCGAGTTCAGCCTCGAGACCATCGATTCTTCCTTCTGCCTCTTGAACACTCCTCTTCAACTCCTGATGTGTGTACACTTCTGAAGGTTGAAGACTCTCAAGTTCACGCTTCTCTTCCTCCTTAGCTTCAATGTGACGCTTCAGGCCGGCAGCCTCAATCGCATGCCGCTTCTTCACAGCCTCTGTCTTCGGAACCCTCAAGTCTTTCAGACTTGCGGGCGGACACTGCCTAGCCTTGTTCAGAAACTGCTCGCTTACTTCAACTTGGGCATTCAGGTCCTCTTCATCATTCGGATGGCAATTGATGCAAAACACAGGAGGACTCTCTTGCAGATTCAATAGCTCTCCGACATCCCCTGAGCTTTGGGTCTTGATTTGTTCAACCAAAGTGGTTCCCTCTTCTCCTTGGTATTGGTAATCGTTCTGCCTGAAGTTTGTGAGCATTAGAACCAACCTGGATGAAAATATCTCTGGTCCAAACAAGTTGTGGTAGTATTTCACTGTGTCCTTGTAGGTTTGGTCCATGCGCGAGTCCATCCTCATGACCAACACAATTGCATGGGCTTTGCCGAGCGCATGGGCTTGTTTGACCACGTGGATCATGTTCCTCAAATCTCTCTGGTGGCTTTCATTCAGCCCCGGTGTGTCCATAACGATGACATCATCAGAACATCCCAGGCTGCAACTCTTGTGCATGATTCACGGGTTCTTCCCACCGGAAAGGTCCATTTTTCGGGCTCACGAAGATGAGCTAGGGTTGGATTCACAAGCAAATTGCCAAGAGAACTCTTGCCGTGCCCTGTAGAGCCCAAGAGCAACACATGCGTCTTCATCTCTTGCCCAGCCATGCGGACCAGACGGGAGCAGCTGCGTGCCGTTTTTTGGAAACGCGCGGAAACAGGAGCTGCGAAGCCAAAATGGCAGTGGGCGCTTGCTGGAAGATCAAAACTGACTAATTATTCTTTGAGTGGAGGTTCTAGGTATCTCATGACAAAGCGATACAGATTCTTAAATCAGAAGTTGCAGGTCCGACCAATCTCATCCCTAAGCTCCATACTCGATAGAGTCGCCCTGCTTCTGGGTCGCCATCGAGGCTCTCCTGCCGACGTACTGGTCGCAAGTGGAAGGACATATCACTTCACCCCTTCCCACTCGCATAGAACCACTCCCTGCAAGATGATCAGGTGTCATCCAAACATAAACGCTTCAAGAACGCTATGGCTATCTCTCTCCAAGACCCCCTCTCTCCCCAGACCTGACGTCCAAAACCATCCCAACTCGCAGCCCAACCACCCAAAAGCCCTCCAAAGCCCATGAACAGCATCTTCAGCCCTCCGCTGCGGAACTCGGGTCCACCCCTCGTTCCTCTACTTCGCTCCTCCGCGCGGCTCAGGGTCTCGGAGATGTCCAGCACCAAGCCGTCCAAGGCCCCGCCCAAGGGCTCCAAGAACCTGAAGCGAAGGTCAGCTGAGCGGTCAGCTGAGCTGCTGAGTGCGATGCTTTCGATGTCCTCATTCTTTCGAGGACATCGATGGCTTTTGATCAGGCGACAGGTTCGACAGATGCAACTAATTACGTACTGCATGTGATCCTCTATGGTGAGTGAAATGAGTGACATCATAGTGACATCAGTCACATCCCGTACCCACCCCTACCAGGAAGAACCTCCTGCCTCGCGGTCGCATGCCGGTGCTTAAACTTCAGCCGGTCCAGCGTCCGATCCTGCGCAAAAACGTTGAACAACAAGCATGCCGCTGTCATCTCTTCCAAGGATGGCCAGCGGTTTCCCAAGACTCGCCACTATCAGTCACATCTTCCCCCCCATTCAATACACCAGCTGAAACAATTCAAAACATCAAACCCATACTGTAGATTCCATTGGAAAAAAGCATAAACACACTCACCCCACCCCACCTCACTCATCCAATCCTCAACCCCACCTTGGAACTGAACCCTCCACCCCGCTTGGCGCCTCGGCCGACGCCTCGTCCTCCTCGGCGGCGAAGACCTGCGCCGCCGCCTCGAGCGCCGCGCCCAGCGCTTCGGCCTTCGCCGCGGTGAGGCCCTAGGAGCCGCACAGCGGAGGTTGGTGGTGGGGGAGAATGGCGGGGTAGGAAGAAAGAGGTGGAAAATTGATGAAACTACAACTAGGGCGAAAAATAGGAAAACATGTTAGAGGTAGTGGTCCAAGATGAACTGATTGTCCATATTGAAAGAGTCTTTGTACAACAAACAGAAAAGAGCTGGTTGTGCAACGCATTTCATGTTTGGCTTCAGAAACGCTCCAACATCTCGCAAACTCCAACCAGGCATGGCTGTCGCTTCTTCTCTTCGGCCTCTTCTGCCACTTGGACACACGCCAAGCCCACCGAGGTGAGGGCCTGCGTTCATGAAGGTCCGGGATCAAGAGTTCACTGATAGACCATCATGTCTTTATAAAATCGGGAGACCTCCCCATGGCAACGACTGCCTGAGGCCCTTGACTGCGGTTCAGACCCCAAACTCTGCTGGGTCCAAGAATTGCTTCACAATGATCTTCGTACCCCTGCGCACGCCGTGCAGGAGTTGGTTCCCCCCCCGGCTTGGACATGCGTCGAAAAGCGGCCGGTTTTCACCGAAACCGCTCCAGACACCGCTCCCCCATCCGGATCGGCCTCCAAGAGGTCGCAGGCGGTGGAAGAGCCTCAGGTCGCTCAGAGCCAGAAGGGGTCGGAGGGAATGGGATGGAATGGGATGGAAGGGGTGCACGAAACAGCGACTTGGGCCATGACTTGGTCCGAATTTTGCTTCGTTTTCTGGACCGTTCGATTCCAACAAGGTGATGGTCCACGTCTTCCCACACGAAGTGGACTCGGGGTTCATACAGCTTCGCCTAAGAAATCCCACAGACAACTGGCCAGCTCGGCCAGCCCAACTAACTGCCCTAAAGAACGGAAAATGACCAGCACCACCCAGAGGGTGGTTCATAAGCCCGCTCACTACGTATGTTCCATCCAAAAACCACCCTTTGGTTGGTCTTGGGACAATCTGGTTCTTCTTCTTGCCCTCTTTCTCGCAGCCTCAACCACCAACCAACCCACCAACCAGCTAACCACACTGCTCTTCACTCCACTTCCGACCCTCCTCCCTGCCCTGCTCTTCAGCCCAGGTCACCCGAGTCCACCAGCTCCAGCGCCCGGTCCACCGGCGCCTCCAAGGTGGACCAGAGCTCCGGCCTCGGCCGCGCGGAGGTGTGCGCGCGTGGCGTGTGGAGGGAGGAGAAGTACCAAAAATGGAAAGGAAGAGAATGGGAGGGACCGTGTTTGGGACCGTGTTTTCGAAAGTCTCCAGTTTGGGAATTGATCCATTCTTTGGGGGGAATCCCGGAATCCCACACTGGAGAACTTGGTTTTCTGGGAGAACTTGCTTGGGATGGACATGGGAGGGCGGAGGGACCGTGTGTTGGAGGGATTCAGGTGTATTTCCTGCACTGAAATCCATTCATGCCATCTTTAAGGGGAAGTTGGGTCCATCCCAAAGCCCTTTTCCTCAAAGACCCATCGATCGTCAGGACACCGCGTTCCGTTTGGGAAAAGGTGCCCCTCCACCCCTCTCCACTGTAACCAGCTACCCATAACTACCTCGCACAGCTTGCATCCAGCACACTCCTCCTCACATTGCCGCCGCAAGCGTCCCAGCGCGCCCAGCGCACACTGCCGGCGGCTCATAGTGTCCGGAAGGCAAGGACCGGCGCCATGTGATTGGAGGTTTAGAGTCTTGGGATGCTTTTGGTGATGCTTTTGGTGACCCCTTGTACCAAGTCTTCTTTTTTTTGTTTTGGATCGGTGGACACTCCTATCTTCCACCCGAAACGTACGTAGAAACAGATATCCTCCAACTCTCAGGTCTCCGCAGAGGTCTAGGCTGAAGCGCTGTAGAGAAGACACAAAAGCTATCAAAAAAAGTCGATCTTGTGTCTCTCTTCACTCGACTACAGACTCTAGACTGAAAAACATGATCAAAAACGTCTTCTTAATGCTGTCCCTCTGAGTTCTTTCTCAATGTCTTCCAAGGGTTCTCGACTTCTTTGTCATCACTGGAGTGGTCGGCTCTGGGATTTGGAGCCGTGGCCGCCAAGGCCCAGGAGGCCTGGAATGAGCCAATCACGAGCCCGGCGAGAAGCTCCTCGCGATGTTCTCCGAAACCGGTGAGCTGAAGTGTTTCACCAGCTGGGGTGCGCGTGGAAAAAGAAAAACAACGCACAGCACATGAATTCCACAGCCACTAAGGAGCTTAAGGGGGCCGCTCGTTTTGTGTGACTTCATGCCAAAATGATCCAAAATGTATGTGTCCTTGGTCCATGTCTTCTTCAGCATCCAAAAAGTGGGAAGGGACGACTAGAGCTTACACACTCCACTGGATTTCTCGACGTATGGCTCTTTTGCACTGTGCACGACAACCACCCTTCGGAGAGTTGAATTGGCTGCCAAACGCAGCCGGCCGCGAAACGCTTCGCAGCCCGGGTTTCAAAGAGACGAGGGCCAGGGTCAAAAAGGATTGTCGAAATTCGAAAGGAAATCCGTCCCAAGACTATTCTGATTCCGTAACATACTGACAGCTTGTATACAAAAGCACCTCCAAAAAGATACGGTTTTTCGTCGTTTTCGCCTGAAGTCTTTTTCACCCTGGCCACACCGGCCAGAAAGCGAATAAATAGCATGGCACCCTCGACACGAAGGACGGGTCAAAACCAACGGTACCGCTCACCGACTCCGACGACGACGACCGCTCGACCTCCGGACCGGACCTTTCGGTCGGTCATTCGGAGTAGAGGCTTCGAACGCTGCGCCCAATGGTCTGAAGCTGGATGTTGCTGGTCCCTGGCGGAGCGAGGTCGGAGCTCGGGCGTTTTCGTTCGGGGAAGGGGCGCTCCGGGGCAGTTGGGCGCGCCCCGAGGGACCGGTGGAGGGGAGTTGTCCGGTTGAGAGGAGCCACGGGTGGAACCATGACACCGGTGACCTGTGATTCACCGTCGTTGAGAGCCAACCCGTTTTTCACGGCGGGGGCGAAGCGCGCGGACGTGGGCTTTTTTTTTGCCATGGGTGTTGCACCTGCGACACAGGCGCATCCTTCGTTCATATCACGAACACGACGTGGCCACAAGCACCGGGACCCAGAAACCCACTGACTCATGACTTGCTGCCTAAAAACCTGTCAACCACGCACCGGGCGCCTTCGTAGATGGTACCGATCTTGGCATCTCGGTAGTACTTCTCGGCCAAGAACCTCCAGCGGCTCGACTCAGCCAGCTTGTTGGGGGTCCCGTCGGGTCTCATCGGGTCGCGTCGGGTCGCGTCGGGCCAAACACCGTGGAACGAACAAAGGAGACGCCGAACGGTGGGGTTGGGACAAAAGATCCATGGGAGACTTGGTCTGGGAGATCTTCGCCTTTTCCGACGTCTGCGCGCTTGAAGGAGACAAGTCTTGACAAAATCGATGTGTTTTTTTCCCATGGTACCCCAAAAATGAATGGCAAATCGATCTGTTATTTACTGCATGATCTCATAGGCTCTGGATCACGTTGATATCTTACCCCGATCTAATTTGCTCCCTTGTTCTGGACTGAGCATTCCTTGCTTCGGTTCTGTAACGCTCATGCTCAAGGCAGCCTACCTGCATGGATTAAAAGTAAAATTTGGATTCGATAATCATCACCATCATCAGCTCTTCTCATATCTTCATCGAACCTATATAACTACGTGCTTGCTCCCAGTTCGCCCACAAGCCTGGTCAACCAGAGTTGATTTTGAACCCGGCATACTCACCCATCACGGTGTGTGCCATCTAGGCTTCAAGTTTCTCAAGATCCACTTCTTTGGAGCACCCACCTTATAGCCTCCGTCGCTACTTCGATTGGACTCCGGACGCCCCAACTACCAGTCGACCGGCTCCAGTCGAGGTCCCCGTTCGAAGCGGTGGAGCCGGGGGGCTCGCGCGTGAAGCCCACGCCGCCCAGCCAGTCGATGCATTGGGAGGACACGTCCTGCGCCACCTCCGACGCCTGCCGTGCCGCACGCCGAGACGCCCAGCGGCCCGGTCGGGAGGAGGGTCGAGCGTCCGGCTTGAGGGCATCGATCGCTGTTCTTTGCGGCGTGGCACGTGGCACCCTGGTTGAACATGAACAAAGTCCTCGTCTGTTCGGGATGTCGATCTCCCATGGGGACTGGTGTGGGAGGTGCCATGACGATGAAACCAGCCACAGCGACAGGAATCCAGGACTCCAAGGGCTCCACCAGATCGGACCCCGAAGTCACGGCATTTTCCGAACGAAAACCTCGCTGAGACCAGTCGCGCAGCACGTGTAGCGTGTTGATACCGTGTTGATACGTTGGATCCTGGACTCGGAGGCTGAAGAACCACCCGAATCTCCACCCGAACGAGTATTGGGTGTCCAATGCCATATGTGGTTTATATGCAAAGGTTCAATACAAAGGTACCCCTAGGCTTCCAATCATGGATTCAATAGGCTTTACCGAGCCACCATTTCTTTACTAAGGATTTTACTTCTACAAAAGCAGGTCAACGATTTGCTTTATGATCTTGGACGTCTAGGGTACATGAAACATCATGAAATCTGTTCCTTTCCAAATTTTTGCTTCTGTCCTTCAATAGGTCCTTCGTTTTGTCGGGACTTCGGCTTGCATTCCCTACAAGTGCTCCAACGCTCTGCGGTTGCCTTTCTTCGCTGACGGAATTAGCTTCTGTGTGTCGTACCTCCGGAACGAATACTGTTTAGTAGTTCAGCCAAGTCAGCTGCTTTCTGGTAGCATCCACCAGCCCTCAAACGCCAAATCGTCCTTGCAGCATAGGCTGCATTCTGGTCTGCTCGATTTTCCAGCAACAATTGTACCACTTCCAAATGAAACTTCAAAGCTGCCAAATGCTAATTAAGGTATCAGATGTGTCACCCCTCCAAAGCTAGGTCCAGATGCTGCTGCTACTGCATCCTTTTCAGCACCCGCTTCCACCAAGAATCGCACCATTTCTAAACAGCCATACTCCGCAGCCCAATGCAAAGGCCTTAGACCGAAGTCACCTGTTGACTTCTTGTCAGCTCCAGCCTCGACCAAGACCACGGTTGCACATAGCGGCAGCACACAAAGGCGTCTCCCCGCATGAACCTTTTGCATCGAGCTCAGCTTCTGCCTCCACTAGTAACCTCACCACTTGCAGATGGCCAATCACAACACAAGCATGAAGGAGGTCATGAGGAGGATGACTTCGCAATGTGGATGAAGTGGAACGCGAAGCAGTCCAAAACAACTTCCTTCACACGATTCGTGCAACAGGCGTCGCACAGTGCATTGACCAAGCCATAGCACCGGTGTGGCAAAAGCCCAAGACGACCAATTGCAAACTCTCAAGCCCTTCCAAGGACGTTCCATCCGACAGCTCTTCACCATCGTCATCCCTTAAGATCCTTTTGTCTGAACCTGGAGCATCCAAGCCGAGCGCCGGTCTGGAAGCGTTTCAGTTCCAAGACATTTGCACAGCCACCTCCGCGTCTTCCTCGTCGTTCCACTCGTCGTCCTCAGCAACCTCAGCAACCTCTTCACCCGACATCGCCCAAGGAAGCAGCATGGCGGCACAGGGGAGGCTCCGTCGACCGTCGACCCTGCAGGAATCACTGCCCTTCGTTCAATCACTTCCTGTCTTGTGCCACCTATGGCCAAGAAATACAAAGATTGCAGCAGCTTGCCTACCTCGCAAGCGGAAGGCTTTTTTAGGCTTGTCCAGGGAAAGCATCTATAAGCATCTTCCTCTGCAGATTGACTGGTCTTGTGGGCTTTCGGGGCTCCACCACATGTTTGATGAACGAGGGCCACTGCTACCATGACGATCCCACGCATCCCACACTGTTCATCCAGATGCACGGCTTGAGTGGGCATGAAGGCATGGCAACCTTGACGTCAACAACATGGGCTCACCAACAAGAAAAATCACTGGTTGATCTCAATTCTGCCCATGTCCATCATGAAAACAGACAACGACTGCCATCTACTTAGGCGCAAAGCGACCCTCTCTTTGGTGCCCCCCAAAATAAACCTTAAGAACTCCTCTGTCTCGTCTCTTCCGGTGTCGATTCTCGTCACGTCTCGTCACGTCGTCCCGTCTCGTCCCATGCGGTGCCTTTAACTTGGCCATCGCAGCCTCCACCATGAAGGGCCTTCCGCTCTCCTTGAGCCGCGCGGCATTGAACCTCGGCTCGTCAGGTGAAAAGGCATGGGAAACAAAGGAAAACAGCGAGTGGGGAATGGAAGGGGAAGATCTGAATTACTATGTCCTTGCAATTCCCACATGGTGAGGTTCGAGAACACCGAAAAGCTGCTTTTCCTCTTCGAACCCAACAAAACCGTTCCACACGCAGATCGAAAGACATCTTCCCTCAAATGACCGGAATTATCCGGAATCCGTTTTCACATGCTGCTCGGCCAAACCGTTCAGCCAGGGCACACCAAGAGCCGCGCAGCTTCAATCTCCATGCGGGCCCGGGCATATTGAAACCTCGAGCGGCGAGCGGAGAGAATAGTGAATAAGTGTCATCACATGAGTTACATAGTCCAAGTCTACTTCCTTCTTCTAGCCAGCCATGTGTGGAAAAGGGGTATATACTTAGTGAGGGGCACGTTGATGCGTCCGAATCCCTGAAGGTGTCAACGAGAACAGACCTACAAACTTGTGACATGAAACACTACAGGGTCGATCGGATTTTGACCCACATCCATCCGAGTCCCCTTCGGCGTGAATGACAAAACGGTCATGGGAAGAACCGGCATAGACCAGCACATGTCGAAGGCAGAGAACCCGCATTTCTTGCTTCAAGACTGCATGATGTTGGATATTGTATCTTCAGCAGACTCAGAGTTGTGGCCTACCACGAACGAAGACATTCGTTGAAGGGCAGTTGCAATGGTCATGCCAAGCAGCTCTTTCTCCCTCCCACAATACCCCCATTTTTCAGGTGGCAGGGCTAAAAATTCACACCCACCGCAGGAGTCTGAGTTGTCTACCCTGCTGCCACATCAAGGAAAAGACACCTTCTATGCGCCTGCCTGATAAACCATGTTGAGCCCAACATGGTCGGAAGAAAGAAGAATAGCTTGGCCACTTCGGAAGTTCTCCATTCACCCACTACCCTCACCTCCCTCAAACACTGCGGCAAAGAAGACCGCCCTCACCCCCCTCTCCGCCCACCGTTTCAACCGGTCCCGTCCCTCACGACGTGGGGGGATGTTGCCACCCACCGGCCCAACCGGTCCCGTCCTCACCGTTCGAGGCGCTGCATGCCCTGGAAATCTGCAATGCTCTGGCCGAACTGCTTCCTACGTGTCGCGGGACACGCGGGACGCAGCCCGTCGCGTCCACGCAGTCAGGAAGCGGTAGCGGTAGCGGGTCCGGAAGGGGGAATGGTCCATCCTTCCGAATGTTCATGAATGTGCACCGGAGAACAAAAGAAAGAAGACAAGACACGAATAAAAGAGTGCCATCTATATTTCTCATGGACTCTTGAATAGTAAAACTCGCAGGTGACATCATGTGTGAAGAGGTTTTACACTCCAAATGGGTGGATTTCTTCCCCAAGGGGTCTATCTTCCATGCCTTAGCCGAAGAAAAGACTCTTCAGGAGAACGACGAAACCACCACTCTGCGCACTGACGGGACGAAACCATCACCTCCCCCCCCACTGGTGGTTCCTGGATCCGATCCGTGACACCCCCCGCGCGGGAACAAACGGGTGAGTCAGGAGGAGACCATGGACGAGGAAGTCAACGAGGAAGTCAACGAGAAGTCGGAGACACCGAACAAATCCGAAAGAAGCCATCAACGAGCCGCTTTCGGTTTCGTCCTTCCCCTTTAAACCCGTTTCAGTCCTGGTGACCATATAGCGCATGGCGTAGTCAAAGGCGCCCTGTGCCAAACCCACCATCTGAGCACCAATGCCAATACGCCCCTCGTTCAGCAGTTCAATGGCAATTTTGTAGCCCTGGCCCACCTGACTTCGAGGGGATCAGAATGTGTCACCAGAGGCTGACGAAAGGGAGAGGGTCTTTGAAGCCAAAGAAAGGTGAAAGGTCAGTCTGTACATGTCATGTATGGCCGACGCTGACACATCCCAAGTTGAAGATCTGTTGAACCATTGTGTTCCACCAAATCAGTACAGCCCCCAGAATCAACCTGGCAGGTGGGGTTCTTGAAGTGTCTGAGTATCCCTGAGAGACACCACGTGGGCCATCGGCAGACCCTTCCAATAGCATGGATTCTCTCCGACGGCCTCCCCGAGCACGGCTTCCTTGGGGACGCGGCAGCCCTCGAAGACCAGCTCACAGGTGGAGGAGGCACGAATGCCCAGCTTGTCCTCCTGTGGAGCCCCGAGCCGTGCATAAACCGAGCGAAAGAGAGAGAGAGAGAGAAAGAGAGAGAGAGAGAGAAAGAGAGAGAGAGAGAGAGAGATCTACCAGGACCCCCAAAGGGATGTTTTTGGATGTTTTTTCTTACGTAAAACCAACCAAAAAGCATCCGTTTGGGGGTGCTGGTACCTGAGCGGTGGAGGTGAGACAAACCATCGCGGAGTGATCTGCATTGGTGGGATGTCGCGCGACTTTGGGGCGGCATGGGGCGTGAGGAGGACAGGGGACATGGATGCAGGTTTTCACAGCCTGTTTCCAAAGATTACTCATCCCTACCTGACTATAGACTATAACGTCCCTTCTCCCGAACTTCCACTATCTACGTCCCTTCGATTGGGGCGCCGCACTGGGACCGGCACCATCCCACCATCCCACCACCTGTTCCACCACCCGCCTTCCGAATCGGCGATTCGGTGAAATGCGCCTTCTTCCCAATCTGAAGGCCCTTGTTGTCCAGATCCACCACAAAGGCGGTGATGCCTGGAGCCCGCCGCTCCGAAAGAGGTGCGCGCACCCCCGGCTGGGAGCGGAGGCCACGGAGGGCACGGTGGGGAGGGTGGGACAAAGCCAAGCAGGCACGGCACGAAACATCGGTTTTTGCATGGGATGCGTTCAACAGAGATGTCCAATCGTGTCTTTCAATCACCTATATTGCACTGCAAACATCATGACTCAACCCAAATCTCCCTTTGTTGTATAAACCAGACAACCACCAAAAAGAAAACAACAACTTTCGACCTTCTTGTGGACATTCAGTTTAGTTTGATGAGGCGCCGCAGCACCTCTGCTCCCGGTCACACCGCCCTCCCTGCCGCCTCGGTGGCCCTTGCTGGGATCAGCATTGGCAAAGACCACGAAGATACCCGCCTCGCACGAAACAACGCCGGCGGACCACCAAAACGACCCGGTTCCACAACATGAAACGTCATGGAACGGTCGATCGCCCACTGCGGTTCAGGTCACGTGACCGCGCGCGTGGGAGGGTGACGTACCTCCAAGCTGTTGGAGATCCAAGACTTGCCGCCATCGAGGACCCAGTCGCTGCCATCTTGCACCTCAGAGTCGTCGAGGACCGCGTCGCGTCAGTTCCTTCCGTCCGTCGGTGCTGCAGGGCAGGAAGAAGCATGAAGAAACCGCCCTGTAAGAGAGTGATTGGTTGAGAGCTTGCTGTCACTCTCTCCTTTTTCCATGGTGTGTTCACGCATCCAAGACTTAAAGCTTCATTCCTCTGCCCGACATGCCCCCACCAAAAGCAGAATACCCCACATGTGTTTCCCCCCCTCCTCAACTCTCTGTACACCCCATTTTTCCACCCCACGGACCGAACAAGATTCCACTCCACCCCCGAAAACGAAGGCTTCCCGACGGCTTCACCACACCCACGGCATCTTCGGCACTCCTCGGCACTCCTCGGCACTCCTCGGGTCGGGTCGGGTCGCTCTCCCCTCGGCGCCTCTCGGCGGTCGCGGCGCCTGCCCCTCCGTCTCGTCTCTCTCGGCGCCGTCGCGGCGGCTCCGTTTGCGGCCGCGGCACGGCCTTGGTCTTCAGCGCAAAGGCGTCGGAGCCGCTGTTGGGCTCGGAGAGGCAGAAGCTGCCCACGGTGTCTGAGTCGGGACGGGACGAGGTGTGGGGAGTGTGGCGACCCGGTAGGGATCCCAAGGTGACAGTTGTTTGGCATCCCAAACAGGTTTGGGAGTGAAGAAAGGTGGGTAAGTCAGCTCCTTGATTTGGGGCCGAAGCTCAGAACGAAACGAAAGGAAGATGAAGTGATGAAGTGAAGAAGTGACATGCCTGGCCAAATCGTGTTCGATCCAAAGGAAGACTCAACTGGTCAGTGCCCATCTCGCCTGCCGCCAAGCGCGGCAGATACCGCTCCTGCAGCTCCTTGCTGCCGTAGCGCTTAAAGGCCTCGATGAGATGCGACGACATGGTGTGCCACCGGACTTGCATGTTCCGTGGTGAAAATCGAACGGAAGGATGATTGCCCCCCTTCCCAAAAAAACCTAAACACATAATATACCAGCACCTTCAAAGGGGTTACCAATGGAAGCCCCTACGCTACTAGGGATCTCCATTGGACACCCCTTTGAAGCTCCAGGTATAATTACTACAAACTAAAACATACCAGGGCCCCCCTAAAGGGTGGTTAATGGATACCCCTTAACCTCTAAGGAGCTATAACTAGCCCCCTTTTAGGGGGCTCTGGCACCCAATGGTTCCAAAGGGGTGCCGAACTTAGAGGATAGGGATGCCCATGATCCACTCCTTTGTGACCCCCTAGTGACTAGAGCTTTGGCTGATGCTGTCTCCTCGGATCACCATCACCAGCAACGAACGATATATCAAACATCCGTGGAACGAACGAAGCTGCGAGCAAGCTGCAGTGACCAGCAACGTGTTATGGATGTCCTGCCACAAAGTCTCTCTGCGAAGATGAAAAGACAGGACACCCTGGGACACCTCTGAAGATCCACGAAGTCTTGACATCTCACAGCAAGTCTGTGTCTTTTACACTTACCTTACCTTCTTAAGGACCAAGCCGAACAGAAACAAAAATGCGAAAATAGGGCCACAAACCTTCAGACACCACAAGAACCATCGCCACAAGAGCCACAAGAACCATCGCCAGCTCCCCTCACCATCCCCACCCATCTGTCCATCCCCCCCCTCACCATCCCGCCACCCATCCGCCCGGTCCATCAGGGCAGAGACGGCTGGATCCACCTTGGCCACCTCTTCGATGGCCAAGCACGCCGCGGTGAAGCCCAGCTCGACGCCGCCAAACTCCGACGGCACCTCGCGCGCTCCGCGCGCGCTGCACGCGCTGCACGCGGGTGCGGTAGACGGCGGACGGCGGCCCGGTGGTGTGGGGGAAACAAGAACAGCGGATCTTTGGTGAAGTCAAGAAGATGCTGAGATGCCAAGATGTCTGTGATTGAAGAAGATGCACAAATGACCACCCTTGGCCTGACCAACCTTTGGTTGGTGAGCTATGCCGCACCACACACTGCTTCCTACACAGCCAAAGCATGGAAAAGCTTGCAAAACGTCTCACATCAGCCGCCGACATCCTTCCCCAGAAGCCACCCATCCCACTCTTCATCGAACCGCCACGGTTCGTTGGCGGGCGACCCCGCCCTCCGGACATCTCTTTTTGCCGTCGCACCTCGATGCCCATGAGGCCCTGCTCGAAGAGCGCATCGACGATCTCTTTGGACATGGCGCCCTTCCGATCCATCTCCTTTCGCAGCGAAAACACCCCCAGCGCAACAAGTGACTGGATGCCCATGTTCAGCACTTCCGGGTCAAAGCAAAGCAAGTCAACGGTGTGCCCCCACATGGCCGACAACAACGGCTGAATAAAATCAGGTGTTTTTAGCACCGGGCTGCCTGTTTCGCCTGCAACATCCTGCAACACGTGTTGGCTTTTGACACATCCGGCCACCTCACAGTGTGTCTCCACGAAGCCTCCCCCGAAGATTGTCCCTCCGCATCCTGGACGTGGGGCGCCAGCAGCTCCCGCGCGAAGCGCTCGGCAGAGTCCCTGAGCATCTCCTCGTCCTCCGTGAGCTGCAGCAGCGACGGGTGCGTCGTGGCCTCAAACGACCCAGCGGCGCGGATGGGAGAGGGCGCGGGGTGTTGGATGAGGGCTGGAGGACCAGGTAGGTTGGATGAGGGCTGGAGACAGTCCCTACTTTTTGGGGGATAAGTGATGTCGGCAAACCTTGTGCGTCGATTCCAAAGGTGTCAGATTCATGGGGATTTGTCAAAGAACGTTTGGTGGAGGATGATTGGTCTGCTCTCCTCTGTGCTGCAGTGCAAGGAAGGTTTGCCATGGCTTGCCTGAAGTGCATTACACAGCCCCCAAAGAGACGTGAAGAAGGAGTCACGGATGACAAGCAAAACAATAAAATCTCTTGTTGGCCCCCGCAGAGAAATGTTCGACTTCATCTGCCAGACCTCTGCCCCTTGGCCATGAATCCCCCCTGCTGTCCTCCCCACGTCCCTCCCACCCTCCATATCCCTTCCACCGAACAACGACCTCCCTTCCACCGGAGGGGCGGCACAAAAACAGCGGCGAGCACTCGCACCGGCCGTCCACCTGGTGTTTCTTGAGACCGGTCGAAGCGGAAGCAATGAAAGCTGCTCTACATCCTCGCCTTTGAGGAAGACTGTAAGGAACAGAGGAGATGAGTCTTGTTGATATGATATATACTCATGTTCTCATATGAAATCCATGAAATCCAGATACTGGACTGCTTGGTCGACGACGTAGACTCACTGAGGAACCGCCCCCCCCTCCATCCGCTAGAGTAGTTTAAGTGGTGAATTAGCTCGATGTCTCTGCACACCTAAGAAGTTTTGAGAGGAAAGCACCGAATGACTCCGAATGACTGAACTTGCTTCGAATCTGGCTAAGGTATGGGATTGGACAACAAACCAAGCACCGGGACACCACAACTCCGGCCACCTTCCCGAGTCCGAAGTGACCCATGGATCTTCACCGATGCCAAAAAGCATACACGTTCTCCCCATGAAAAATCCCAAAAAATCAGAACAACAAGGGAAGGAACAAAAAGAAAACAATCAGGACTGAGGACCATCAAAATCAATCAAAATCATCTCTCCCCATGAAAAGATCAACATAAAAGGGAAAAAAGAGCAAAAAGACAAAGAGAACTCCAAAGAACCATCAAGGTCATCGAAGCTCTCGCTTTTGACCTCCCAAACCTCCCCCAGATCGATCCGGCCTCATCGAGCGCTCGACGTGGCCTCCGGCCATGGGGGAAGGAGCAGGTATGTGAGCAGAGAAAAAGGCCATGGGGTATTTTGTATCGGTTTTGTTGTTCAAATCTTCACCCTCTGAAGGGATTCTAATAGAAGAATAGAAGCGCAGGATTCGGACCAAAAGTTGTTGCCTGTAGCCTATATCTATGTCGGCCTTGTTCATATTAACTTCACTTCCGGAACCTTGAACCATGAGACCTGTCGGCCGCTTTTGTCTTCCTCGTCGATCCAAACCACTGTCGGCCGCAGGTGCTCAGCCCAGTCGTCTTCGAGGGCCAACCACCGCTGCTACGCGGCGTGCAGAAACGCACCGCACCACCGCACCACAACGGGACATCGAGACAACATGGCCCTGGTGGCCCTGTTCTCGTGTCACGTCACGAGATTAGGCGAGTGGCTTATAGTTCTCCCGGTTCTCCTTGGTGGCAAAGTATTCCAAGATGGGCGGCACCTGCGACATGAACTGGTGCAACTTGCTGATGTTCCCATAGGGTGCCAAAGCATCCGCGGGCACGCCATCCAGGAAGGTGGGCTGCCGAAGCATGGTGACCAAGCTCCACAGGTAGATCGTGCCGATGGTCACCTTGCTGGGGAACTTCTGTCCCAGCATCCGGTCGACGACCTGTAGCGGAGAAGGACCGGTGGTCTGGCCGGTCCACCACATCGAGCGGAGAAGCCGAGCGGAGAAGGCGTGGCGTGGGCTGGTTTCATCCCATCCCGGCGACCCGCAGCTCTTGCACCGGCGAGGTGCGGGTTTAGATGGTCCCCTTGGGGTGGATGGATTTGGATGAAGAATCTTGAACCAAGGCGGGGTGGCAATGTTCTTGATGAATTGGACTCATCTGCGAAGCCTATTTTTGCATGTCTTTTTATCCCGGACCATGCATGGCATATTCAACTACATTGACCCCTTTTCAACCACCCCAATGTAGATAAATATGCTATACATGGAGTGTCTGGGTATCTGGATCTTCGAAACGGCACAACTACTTGCCTTCTCAGGGAAAAATGTCGTTGCGGCGTCTGTTCCCAAAGACGGCGATTTTGGTATGACAAGGCAGCAACCAGCGAATTGTCTAGTGAGGGGAGAAAATGATAAACAGCGCTTTTAAGCGTCCAAATGGCATCTTCCCCTGCACATGTTTGCAACGGTTAGAACGGCATCTGTTTTGAGTACGGCGTCTTTTCACCGGAAAAAACGCCTCCGGCAGAAAATGTTGGGCCGTTTTGAAGATCCAGGATCGTTGAATTGATCAACTCCTTTTCAAACCCACAGAAGTCATTTTCAAGCCACCTTCAGCCACTTGGTCATCTTGCCATCCTCCGCGAACAAATTGGCCCTAAAGGCTTCCTTCTCCGCTTGGTCTTGGATGGCAAAGCTGCCCAGCAAGGGCTGGCGAAGATCTTCGGCCACTTCGATCATCTCATCGCATTCCAACTGCTCCATGGGATCCAAGGGATAGAGTGGATTTCCTTCATAACTGCAAATCCGTCCCAGGTAGCGCAAGATGGCGCGGCTCTGAGCATAGGCCTTGCCGTCGATGGTGAGCACCGGCAGACCAGTGGCTTCCGGCGCGTAGGGGTGCACCGCCGCCTTGCGATCCTGGAATCTGCTGTCGTTGGCGGGCGTGGTGTCCTTGAAGGGGACGCCACCCACCACGAAGGTCAAGCGCAGGGGCTCGCCAAGTCCGGTGATGGGGAAATAGAAGAGCTCGTACTCAGGCATGGTGCGAGCCAAAGGAAGGTTAAAATCCAGACAGTCGGGAGGGGCGGTGCAATCAATCAAGTGCTTGAGCCCAATCAAGCATTGCAGTCAGTGCTCGAATAAAAAAACAAGTGTTTGGAACCTCTGTTCTGTCAGTCCTTGTCATTGCTACGCAAAAAGGCCAGCTATACCCGCATGCAACAGCACAATCAGACCGCACAAAAGTCTCCGCAAAATCAACATCACACGTGTCCTTTTCCGTCAAAAAAAAACGAAAGAGAAAGTAAACGAGTTCCGGGTGAACATGCCACCCGCAGAAGATATCCCCAAAGCTTCCCCTGCCAACCGCGTTTCGCTGCTTGAACCCGCCTGGCCATCGCCGAAGAAGGGCGCTGCGCAGAGCCGTTCCAGCGGCACGCATGGCTGAAGATGGCTGAAGACGAAAGGCGCGCCACTCTTCCGGCGTCCAAGAAACGCGAAGAAAAGGGAGAATTCCAATTCCTCAAAGGGAATTTGAGTGGAATTTGAAGGACCAATTGAACCTCAAACTATGTTGTTGGCTCAGCTGGCACCGCTTTTTTGGTCCTAGGAGTCCAAACCTCTCAACCTAATGTGCTTGGTCGGATCAATGACTAGCAACGGCCACCCTCGGTTTTGGCTTTGGAAAACACCTTTGGCTGAGGCTTCCCAAGACCAGTTGTTTGTGCCGAAGACGTGTTGCCATGTGTTGCCCTGATGCCGGTTTTTGGCGCTGGGGAGCTGCTGCTGCTATACTCCTGGTGATGTACCGGAGCCAAGTCGAGCCAACGCTGAAGCCACGAGTTGAGGATGGGAATGGATGGGTTTGGGTCGATGGGAAAAAAAGAAGATCCGAATGTTTCACTGAGAATCCCTGAAAATCCAACACCCCTCCCTACTTGAAGTCTATATATTTATAGTGTCCTTGACTCCCTTGCTCATGCAGACCTGATGTCCTCAAGCCGAACCCGCACCTGGCCAGGTTGATCCAAACCAACCCGTGCACCGCTGCACCGGTGCACCATTCTCTGCCCTTCGGTCGCTGAGCTCCGGTCATCCAACGCGAACACCACCACGTTCGGGATCTCCAAGCTCCTCGGGTCGATAAGGGCAGATCGGTTTGGAGGAGGATCCAAATCCCGCGGGTTTGGGGCGATTCTGGGTGCCCAACAAGCGGTTTGGGTGACTTGCGGACGTTGGAGGGACCAGGCGACCTGGCACGCCCCATATATGCGACGCCACATGCAGTCGAGACTGCGACCGGGCACTGATCCTGATCCCAGAACTTCCAACGTCGAAGTTTAACTTAGCCAATGAGAAACGTCGAAGTTAAACTTGTACACCTCAGTGCGTCTAAGTTTTACTCATGTTATATAGTTGTCTTAAACAGAACAGACTCCGCAGAACGACGAAGTTTGACCTGGTTAAACATAGACAGAAACAACGTCGAAGTTAAACTGAGCCTTTGAAGATTAGGGCTGAAAAGGATCCCACCCTTGGCCCCCCCTTTCCGTGACATGATGTCCCGAAGGTCCCGACTTTCCCGACGCGGCAAATCCTCTGAAGGTCCGAAAAACGCGATCTCCAGAGATCTAGATGATCTATGTGTGTCTCCGTGCTGCCTCTGCGGACCGCGCCGACCGCGCCCGGACATCGCCCGGACCCGGCGCTCCTGACCCGCTCGGAGAAGGGTTTGATGTACCTGAAGGAGCGGAGTTCCATCCCGGAAACTGTGTCCAGCCCCTCAAGGGATTCAAAAAAGCAGCAAAGGCACGTGGAAAAGCAGCCTGTGGGTGGTCCCCACTTAATTGAAAACAGCCAGAGAAAAAAGCCTGACGATGAGCGAGCTGACCTGAACATGACCGAAAACATCCGCTGAATTTGGGCTCTAGACCTTTGTATACCCACAAAACCTCCAAGAACATCCCCCTTCAAAAAAATTAACTCCCTCGACTCGAACCCGGCAGAGCTGGCGGTCACCAGAATGGTGAGAGGTGCTCCAACGGTCCCGTGGACTCACGGTTTCGACACGACCGACACGGGGAGCCCATCTGATCGGCGAGTCCGGAGGAAGAAATGCAACAAAACAACCCGCCGCCGATGCGAACTTGGATTCCCATGGTGTGGTATTCCAATTGTCTTCCAAGATGTGAACGTTCCAGACTGGTGCTTGCTATTTCGAAGTTATGAGAAAGTGTCCGACTGGATGACCATTCGACCTCAGGACACCTATCACTTCGTTCGTCTTCCGGCGTCTTCCGTTCGTCCTGCCTTTCCGCCGTGTCTGGCGCACTTGGACATCTTCCCGAAGACCATGGTCACAAAGACCGGCGCCTCGAACGCACCGGTTGGACCCGGACCGGAACCCGGAGCCCGAAGGGCTCTGCACGACGGGTGGTTCAGCTCCATCTTCACCGGATCAGCGACGACTGGTCCGGTTTTTTCTGGCAGTCTCTTGGCCCAAAATGGTGTTCTTGGATGGAGCAGTCTTCGACATCACTTCAGAGTCCAAGTTCGAGACCGAACGAAGCCAAAAGATGAAAAAAAGGATCAGTCTTCGACATACGGTGATACGGTGATACGAAGCCAAAAAGGGATCGAAACAGTTGAACCTTGCTGATCGTACCCCACCCAATTCTTCCCTGACACGTGATCGGTCCTCCCGAGTCTTCCCAAGTCAACATGGGAAGAAGACATGGAGCTTGGTGGAGGGAAGAAGACGGAAAACAGAAGAAGGAAGAAGAAGAAGAAGAAGGAAGAAGGAAGAAGACGGAAGAAGAAGAGGAGGACGACGCCGAGACGACAGAGACGACCGGACTAACCGAAGGATCCGGCAGCGAGACCACCCACCTTGGGATCCAGGAGCGGGACGAGGTGCGAGCCCAAAAGAGCCTGGACGGTGCAACGGGGCAGGTAGGGCCAGGTGAAGCAGCACCAATGAGCACAAGGAGCAGGAAGATGAGCACAAGTAGAAACACCAAAGAAGGAATGTTCGGAATGTGTCATGGAAAGTAGAAAAAAAACAATGAAAAACACCTGTTTCTGGGTGGTCGGAGTTGAGGTCCGCACCATCATAAGAAAACTTTTCGAGGTGCTCGATGGTCTCAGGAAAGGATGGTCTCAACAGGTAGCAAGTGTCCGTCGGTCATTTGGCTCCACTAAAATCAGCATACACAACTAACTGAATCTGGCGGAAACGGGATCAGCAAATCGGTGGGTTTTGCTATCTCGACTCTTGACCCAAGTCAAGAGTAGCCCAAGACTCCAGGCCCCGAAACCAAATCACGGAAGACTCTATGCCACCCAAGAACCACCAGAATTGGCCGATTCCAATCCTGTAAGCCAAGTCGGACCAGCCATGTTCCCACTCCCTCCGTTGGCACACAAACGACCACGCAGAGCCCGGCCGCGCCTGTGGGCCGTCCTCAGCGGAACGGACTTCGCGCGGCATGGAGAAGAGCGGCACTTCGGGTGGCCTGGGCGGCCCGGCCCGGCCGTTGAGGGAAGCTGCGCATTGAGGGAGTGGAACCAGCCAAGCTGGGAGAAAAACAACAACACGACATCACATTCCGAGGTCACCCAGTCACCCAAAACCAGGTTCCGCTTGGAACCAATGGGTTTGTGGCAGAGGTTCTTCCAGATTTGCTAGGCTGCTAGACTGTCATGTTGCCCCAACGCCTGGCGAAGAAGGGAGGATCGGCGATCGGGCTCCCTACTCACTTCCGTTGGACTGAAGCAGTCAATTGGAAAACAGAATCTGACAGCTCCATTCAAGAAGCCAAAGACTGGAAAAAGCAGGGTGGACGCTGCTCGCAGCAGGAAAGAGAGAGCAAGCAGCCACGTCAGTCGCTCAATTCGAAGCGAAGACGCGTGCAGTTCCCCTCTGCTCGATGGTCAAGTCCGCTGCAGGCGCAAGGGATTCCTCGAAAGGCTCCTGCCACTGGGACGTTGAGGTTTCGGCTTGGTGTTTGCGCGGCTGGTGGGATTGACAAGGCATTGGCGAATGCAGGTTTGAAGAGATGAAGAACAATTGAAAACACTCTCTTGGAACGCTCTTGGAACTCGCACACCTTTCCTTCCTATACACTACTACGCATTGATGCTATTCGAGAACGTGTTGAAGGACTTGCGACCTTCATCTCCTTCTAGCCCTCAGTTGCCGCATGAATTCTCAGCATCCAACTCCCATGCGTGGGACTCAACTCCCTCAACTGACTTTTGAATCGTAGAGACCTCAAAAACAAAGGAACGCCCAAACTAAAGCAAAAGAGCCTCAGTGCTAGAACTCCGGCAGCACCTGCACCAACCTGCAGGTTTTTTGACTTTGAAGGGTTCCAAAAGTTTCTCTGTAAACATTGGCCTGACAACCTCACCAAAGGCCCCTCGTTCTACCTGCTGTACTGGCCAACTCCTTCGGCCAATCTCTTGGGCGGTCCTTCGTTCCGCTCGGGCAAGATGCCATAGAACTTCCAAGGCCTGGCTTCGCAGGATTCGGCGCAGTCGCCCGGATTCGCCATCTTCACTGAGGAAGGCCCAGTAGAAACGAAAGAACACGAAGAGGCAACCCTCCCAACAGAAAGCCCTGCAAAACAGTCGCTGAGGACACAGAAGCACCCGGTTTGCAGGTATTGTGACACTGCCAGTAGACCTGGCTCTTCCTGTGGTCTCTCAAAAAAGCACGAAAGCTCCATATAAAGCCCAACCCCCAACGCCTCGTTCGAGCACCACGACCATCGCCGCCACCCCCACCCGGTGCCGGCACCACCAGCCTGGCGAAGGCCTGTCCGCAGAGCGCCCGGCAGCGGTTCAAGGCCACGTTCACCAGGTTGGGCTCCGGGTCCATGAGGTAATACGCCACCCTCATGTGCATGTGGAGAGCGGAATGGAGACCTTCCAGAAAAAGATGAACATCATGAGCTGTGTCCTATCGCTTTTTGATGCGTTGACATGTCAGATGTTGGTGACCGGGCTCTAAGAAGTCAGCCCCTTCCACAAAATCTACGGGACGTATAAAAACAAGAGCAGCTGTCATGTTAACCATCACTTTGAGCGTGCCTCACATGGTTTTGTGAGTCCTCTCTTTATTTATTTTACTCCTTCTTCTTCGATCCCTTTCCTCTTGACCAGTCCTCTACCAGTCGCCACACGCCCTCCTGCCAAGCAGCTGCTCCGAGGTGGAGCTCGGGAAGCTGGGAAGCAGGCAACCGCGCACCGCGCCATCGCCCAGCACGCCTAAGGCCCTCAGGTCCGCTGGCGCCAGTCCCAGGTTGTAGCGATGCCTCACTGGGCCAACACCCACGAGGGCGTAGCTCGGGCGTGGGTAGCTCGGTGGGGGGGTAGGGAGGGGGTGTGAAAGGCCTGGAACGAGGAGGGGTGTGTGTGGCTCTAGTGTGGGGAGGAAGGGGTTGAAGAGCAGCAACTTGGAGTGAAGAGTGTATGGAATGATCATGGCCATAATCCGGGACAGGGCAAGGTCACACCAAAAGAGCTTTTGGAAAGCCTGCCATAGGTGCCATAGGTGTTGCCCTGTCTGAGGCCAATACGGGGTTTTGTTTGGGTCGTTGCAGCGAAGATTGGTTCCGCAGCGCGAGCTCCCAGCGCTTCTTGCGCTTCTTGCGCACAAGCAAAATCAATAGTGGATCAAGACATGCTGAAACGGTCACTGGCGTCCAAACAGTTTGAGCCAAGCTGGACCAAGAACGACTGAGAAGGCCGACGGATACAGACAGACCACACCGTCCTGGTTGACTTGGCGAGAAGTAGTGGTGACGGCAATGAAAGATCGTGACACCACTGCGATTTAAGGAATGGATCCTTTGCCCCCCCAAAATGTCCACTATCACTATCACTAATCATGTGATTCTATGTTGTTCCTGGTGAACCACACATGATGCGGAGGGCTCATTCTGCGTGCTTTTGTGGGAGAAGTGGACAACATGAACGTGCCACTTCACAACACCTCCTGGATCCACCACACGGCCCAATCGTCACACGCGCATCTGAGAATCAGTCCTCACACGGGTCTTCACCGTGCCATAGTGGACTTCAAACCTGAGTCGTGTACCGGCCCCAAAGAAAAAGTTCCTCACGCCACAGCGCGGATCCGCGTGGGATGCTGCCCCTTGCGCGCAGCGAGCACAATGGTTTTTGTTTTTACCATGTAAAAAAGCACGATGGACGACGTTCCCGGAGACCCATTGGCTGAGTGTGTGTAGAGTGTGTGTTTGCGAGATCTCGGCTGGAAAGAACAAACCCAGTGTTGGGAGTGCAAGCATGACGCCTTGAGCAACTTCCCAGTCTTGGGTAGAGAAATTGGATGAACTCCGACACCCGATCCGAGAATCGGTGCACAGTGTTCTCGAAGTGGTTTCAACAATCCAGGGTTGATAGCCGTGAATGCGCACGAATGTTAATGAGCGCTTTCCAATTGTGACGGGGGCTAGTGTTAGCCCTGCCAAATACAAGAAGATGAATCCTTACTCAGTTTTTGCCTGTCCTTGGTGCACTTCATGCGCCAGTACGCTGGTTGGAGGCATGTGCCTTGGGAATGCTCTTCGGCGCCCAAACCACCGAATGTCTCTCTAGATTCTTGCTTTCATCCACTACAGAACCGCTTCGGTTGGCCATCGGGACTCTCAAAGAGAAGGCACCTGGACCCATGTATCATACAATGGCTTGCTGCAGTCAGAGCAAAAGGTGTGCATGAGAGAATGGGCTAGTACAACTGTTGTTGTTGTTGTGAGGGTGTAAAAAATTAAGAGCATCATTTGCTGCACCTCCCACGAAATCTGCACTTCGAGGTTCACAAAGTACTGGGCCTGCAACGAAATCTGGACTTCGAGGTTCACAAAGTGCTGCACCTGCTTGGAAATCTGCACTTCAAGGTCCACAAAGTACTGCGACTGCCACCGAATCCACACTTCCAGGTCCACAAAGCGCCGCGCCTGCCACGAAATCTACACCGCGCCTGCCACGAAATCCACACGTCATGGAGCCTGATCTGCACTTCAAGGCCCACAAATTTATGGCCACAGCAGCGGCGCCCCTGCAGCAGCAGCAGCAGCGCCCAAGCTCCAAAGGCGCACACGGCCACACATCTGGCAGCGGATCCCTGCAGCAGCAGCAGCAGCAGCGCCCAAGCCCCAACGCGCATGCGGCCACACATCTGGCGGCTGCACCCCGTTGTAGGCTGCGGCGCAAGCTCCACGCAGCCACGCATCTGGCAGCGGCACCCTGCAGCGGCGCCAGCAACCAAGCTACAAATGATATCATCACTATTGGGACCCTCCTGGCGGCGGGGCAAGCCCAACGTCCGGACATGCAGCACGCGCACGGTGGTCCCTACGTAGACCACGCGGGACGCCGGGCTCCTGAACGTTCTGCACGTGAGATCCCCTCTTCCAGCTATCTCTTGCCAGCCTTGCCGGAATTATGAGGAAACAAGCCCTCATACACAACTGTCAATGAGAAAATCTCATCAGAAAACCGAGCAAACGCACTGCTTCACCAAGCGGGCCGGAAATAAAGAGATTGACGAAGGGGTCCGCGAGCTGCTTATAGCTACAAGACATGAACGAAAAATGATACACCAGCCTACCATAACCCACCCCCTTCTTCAGCCAAGTTCCTGCCATCAGCGCCTTCACGCTTGTTCAATTTGAGAAAATCAACTCACCGTGATGGGCGGCAGCCCCGCCGCATATTTTGCGCAGTCTCGGGCCTTGCGCTGAGGAAGGCCAAGATCCAAAGCTCGGGCGGTGTACCCACAGTACACCACCCTTGCCCCCCCGCGGCTGGGCGGGCTCCGGAGTGCTAGAAAGAGATTCATTTCCAGTAGTTGCAAGGCCTCAGTTGCGGGGGTAGTCCATCACCTTAAGCATCATCATCTTCAAGTCGACTTGAACAATGCCACAACCCACCCCCAGAACCCACCCCCTTCTTCAGCCAAGTTCCTGCTTCATTCCGAAGGCACCTGGACCCATGCGTCATACAATGGCTTGCTGTTGTTGTTGGTGGCGGCGGCGATGGTGGTAGACGGCGGCGACGCGGTGGTGGAGCTGGTGATGGTGATGGCAAAAAAAAATTAAGATGCGCCTCCCACGAAATCTGCACTTCGAGGTTCACAAAGTACCGCGCCTCCAACGAAATCTGGACTTCGCAAAGCGCTGCACCTGCCTGGATCTGCACTTCAAGCTCCATAAAGTACTGCTGCAGGGTGCCGCTGCTGTGGCCATAAATTTGTGGGCCTTGAAGTGCAGATTTCGCAGCAGACTTTGTGGGCCGTGGACCTTGACGAGTGGATTTCGTGACAGGCGAGGGGCATTTTCGTGGCAGGCACAGTGCTTTGTGGACCTTGAAGTGTAGATTTCGTGGCAGGTGCGGCGCTTTGTGGACCTGCACCAGCACCCAAGCTCCAAAGGCACACACGGCCACACATCTCAGCAGCAGCAGCAGCAGCGCCCAAGCCCCAACACGCACGCGGCCACATCTGGCAGCAGCACCCCGCTGCAGGCTGCGGCGCCAGCACCCAAGCTCCACGCGGCCACACAACCTAGTGAATGGAAGTCAGTGCTCCATGTTTTGTCTGTCTCCGAGTCCAGTGCCGCGGACAAAAATACTGCACATCCGGCAGCGGCACCCTGGAGGGGCAACAGCAGCCAAGTTACAAATGATATCGTCACTATTGGGACTGTCCTGGCGGCGGGGCAAGCCCAACGTCCGGACACGCAGCACGCGCACGGTGGTCCCTACATAGACAAAGCGGGACGCCCGGCTCCGGAACGCTCTGCACGTCAGCGCCTTCACGCCTTTTCGATTTGAGAAAATCTATCAACTCACCGTGATGGGCGGCAGCCTCGCCGCATATTACGCGCAGCCCCGGGCGTGGGCAGGATCCGGCGGGCGAGAAAACTTGAGCCATTGGGACCCCTGGCTGACGCTGAGGAAGGCCAAGAGTCTTGGCCTCCAAAGCTCGGGCGGTGTACCCAAGGTACACCACCCTTGCCCCCCCGCAGCCTGGGCGGATTCAGTGATGGCACACACCTACAGAATGCTAGAAAGAGATCTCTTCATTTCCTGTAATTGCGAGGCTGCAGTTGTGGGGGTAGTCCATCACCTCAATGTTGAATCCTTAATGGTGTGTGACGGAATAACAAAAAGATTTTGCCAAATTATTCACGCACCCTGATTGGTCTAATGGGTCGGTCGTAATAATACAGATTTTTTTCACCCAGTGTCCTTTTTCCCCATAGTGCTCCGCACTAAGGGGTTCTTACGGTAAGAGTTAAGCGGGTTTAGATCAGGGTTCGCGCGTGTGGGCGCGGCATGTTGCGTGGGCCAGATTTCGTGGCAGGCGCAGCGCTTGCTGAGTCTGGAAGTGGAGATTTCGTGGCAGGTGCAGCACTTTGTGAATCTCGATGCGCAGATTTCGTAGCAGGCACAGCACTTTGTGAATCTCAATGTGCAGATTTCGTGGCAGGCGCAGTACTTTGTGAACCTCCATGTGCAGATTTCGTAGCAAGCGCGGTACATTGTGAACTTTGAAATGCTCCTATGTATTCGCCTATGTGCTCTCAGATTTGTGCTTGTATGTGCTCTCACATTTGTGCTCTCAGATGTGTGCTCTCATGTGCTCTCATATGTGCTCCCATATGCTCTCATATGTGCGCTTTTATTTGTGCTCGTGAATCTGCACTCTCACATTTGCGCTCTTGTATGTATCCTCTCATATTTGTGCTCTCATCTGTGTGCTCCTTCTTTCCTTCCACGTGATGCCATGTTCCATCTGTTCCTCTTTACACTATTTGGGGTCCCTTGCCGGTGTAATTTTGAGATTTGTTTGTTTTTCTGTTGTTCTGCTATTGCTCACCCTATAAAACCCCTACTTAACTCTCCTGAGGTTTGCTTGACTCATGGAGCTCTAACCTGAAAGCCGTTTTGAAAAAGCCTATTAAAACTCAACGAATTCCTTGCTCCAAACAATGTTTTTTCTATTGGCTAGTACACAAACCCAGGGTAATTTAATAGTATGAATTGTCTAGGGGTGGGATCAATAAGCAAACTTGGAGCCCTACGGGAAAAATCTAACGATTGTTCTGCTATAGCTGCCCTTTCAAATCCTTACTTAACTCTTATGAGGTTTACTTGATTCATGGAACTTTAACCTGGAAAAATTCAAAAAAACGCGTTTTGACTCCAAACAATTTTCAAGGTGGTGGTAAACAAGCCCAGGGTAATTGAATTACAAGAGTGTCCCACAAGAGTGTACTACAAGAGTATCCCACAAGAGTTTCCTACAAGAGTGTCCCACAAGAGTGTCCCACAAGTGTGTCCCGCATGTCCCACAAGAGTGTCCTACACGAGTGTCCCGCAAGAGTGTCCCGTATGAGTGTCCCACAAGAGTGTCCCACAAGAGTGTCCCACAAGTGTGTCCCACAAGAGTGTCCGACAAGAGTGTCCCATAAGAGTGACCCACAAGAGTGTCCTACCACAAGAGTGTCCTACAAGAGTGTCCCTGTCTCACAAGAGTGTCCCACAAGAGTCCCGCAACCATGTCCCACAAGAGTGTCTCACAAGAGTTAAGAATGTCCCACAAGAGTGTCCTATAAGAGTGTCCCACAAGAGTGTCCCACAAGAGTGCCCCACAAGAGTGTCCCACAAGAGTGTCCTACAAGAGTGTCCCAGTATGAATTGTTTAGGGGCTGGGTTGATAAGCAAATTTGGAGCCTCTGTCTGTCTGTCTGGTCTGGTCTGGTCTGGTCTGGTCTGGTCTGGTCTGGTCTGGT